AAACAAAATCAAACACGGAGAGTTTCAAAAACCCTTTTGTATGTGGAACTACTTACTTCCACATTGGATTCAAATCATAAGCTGACAGTTAAAACAGTTGAGCCAGCAACTTTTAAACTTTAGATCTGTAGTGTCTGCTTTTTGCTGGCTGTATGTGGGCGGAGTAATACACAAAGGGTAAAGAGGCTGTAGGAGTTCTGATATTGAAGAATATTGCACGGCTATCAGCCAATCAGATTTGAGAACTAGAGAGACCTGTTGTATATATATATATATATATATATATATATATATATATATATATATATATATATATATTGATATATATTGATATATATTTTTTAATTTTTTTTTATTTTAGTTTTTTAAATTAAAAACTGCTTATTCTAGCCGAAATAAAACAAATACAACTTTTTATTATATTAAATATAATAGGAAATACTGTAAAAAAATGTCATGCTCTGTTAAACATTATCTGGGAATATTTGTTAAAAAATCAGAGGAGGGCAAATAATTGTGACTTTAACTGTATGTCCATGTACCACATAGAACAGGGGATGCCTACCCTGTTCCTGGAGAGCCACCTTCCTGCAGATTTCATTTGCAACCCATAGCAAACACACCTGCCTGTAATTATCACGTGGTGTTTAGGTCCTAATTAATTGGTTCAGGTGTGTTTGATATGGGTAGCAACTGAAATCTGCAGGAAGGTGGCTCTCCAGGAACAGGGTTGGCCACCCCTGACATAGAATAACCCACAATAAATTCACATTAATTCATATTTTGTGGCTAATAGTCAAAGTTGGATGCAGAAGATTACATTAAAAACATATTTTACATAGTTTAAAACCATTATTTTATTTTATGTGGCTAAATAGAATAAACATATATGCAGGGGCAGATTTAATGAATAAGCAAGGTAAGAAGCCGCTTTGGCCCTCAGAGAATCTGAGGACCCCTAAATAAATACCTAGAAGTATAAATGATTCCTATATATTATATATAACATTGTTTTCTATCATATTTTGTACGGTAAAGGGTCTCCCACCTTCAGGAGCAGACTGTGACAAAAAATCAGCCCCGGCACTGTAACACCAGCCCACATAAACACAGTGATACAGCTCCAGCCACGGACACGCACATTCACTGCTTATGTTGGTGTACAGATGGTGAAATAATATAGACAGTACCATATGTAATAGATATTTAAACATTTAATGTATATGACTGGAACAAAACAACCCGTTTATAACAAATTTTTATATTCATTCATTCATTCATTTTCTTTTTAGCTTAGTCCCTTTTATTAATCTGGGGTCACCACAGTGGAATGAACCGCCGACTTATCCACCATATGTTTTACACTGCGGATGCCCTTCCAGCTGAAACCCATCACTGGGAAACACCCATACACACACATTCACACACATACACTAACGGACAATTTAGCCTACCCAATTCACCTGTACCACATGTCTTTGGACTGTGGGGGAAACCGGACCACCCGGAGGTAACCCACACGAACGCAGGGAGAACATGCAAACTCCACACAGAAATAACAACCGAGCCAGCTGAGGCTCAAACCAGTGATCTTCTTGCTGTAAGGCCCATTGCCCCCTTTCGAAAATCTTTCAGTTAATTTTATGCATTTGGCAGCGTCTGATTTGAGAGGCTTTTTTTTTTTTTTTTTTTTTGCTGTCTCTGATCTTTCCGGCACCGCCTTTCCTTTTTTTTACGGTCCATCTCTTACAATTAGCTTGTGTTGCACTTACTGTTTGTTTGACATTCTTGCAAGATTTTGATTACGTCCATGTAACCTCTGATTGGATCGGATTGGATCGACCCATCTCGAAACCAGCCGGCCGTTGTCGATTGGGCCAAATGCTTAACATTTATTATTTTTATTACTATTATCATCATCGTCATCATTATCATCATCGTCATCATCATCATAATATTTACATTTTGCAAGAGATAAAAGCTATCTGCATGTAAATACAATACATTTAAAAAAAAAAAATTAAATTAAAAACTGACCGGCCCACATTTAAAAAATGGTCCAGCCCTTCTGGTATTTGCCAGCCAGATGGTCAATCCACCCCTGCCCACCTTCAATCATGGACAAGTCCAGCAGTTAAATCAGTAAAGATTTAGTTTTAAAAAGGAAATTATTCATTAATTATCTTTAGTTGTGAATTCATCTTAGGAAAACAAATCGTTTCAAAAGTTTTACAAAGTGCTTTACATATTATTATTTTGCATTAAGGGAAAATGTAGAAAAGGAGATGAAATTATATAAGAAAAACTGCTAAATAATAATAAAAAAAGTAAAAACAAAAGGTGCATTTTAAATCTTTTTGGCCTAATGGCTGGAATTGCTTAGGCCCCCAAAATAACTAAATCCGCCCCTGCATATATGCTAAACTTTAATTTAGAGCAGCGCTGCGTCTCGAACTCCCATTGGTCTGAAATAACCCCTCCTTAGCAACGCGAATTTGTGTGGTGGTGTGGCACGTGGTTACCAGGCAATGTACCTTTAACTTGTGTCGTGAAGTTTTCAGCTGTGGAAAAGCCTGCAGGAAAAACTCTATCGCTCTTCGAATGCAAAAGATTAGAGAAAACTGAAGCAAACGAACATATACGAGATTAAACTGCGGGGAAATATCATGTTTTAAGTGTCTTTGCGTTTGGAAGAGATTTAGAGGATTTGCCTTCTATACTCGACACAGAAGAGCTTATGGGACGCAGAAGTGGGTTATAACAGGACGGCGTTTACTTCGTTTCCCTCAAAACTACCGAATGTTCCAGTATAACAACACATTTTGGACCAAAAGGAAAGGCGAGGAAATATTTTTATCATCCTGAAGTTTTGGTGCTGAATAAAATGGGAGACAGTGAGCTGCGCGACGCCTCCGAGTTTATCAAAGGTAACGTTAAAATATTCGATTAGTGTCTATAAGTTAGACTAGTTCATATAAAATAGCCCTTAAAAAGATATTTTATCCTGCCCAGTTATGTAAATTCATATACCACAATAGCATATGCTGTAAGTTAGCGTTATTCTGTAATGCAGCTAATGAAAACAAAATAACGTTATAAAGTTCATTATACGTCAGTTATTCATATATATCAAAACATTATATATACATTTACACTATTATATGTAATTTTAAATGAATGTAACGTTAGGGTTATGTGCTAATGTTAATTCGTGTTGATTATTAAAGTTGTCTTTGTACACATATTTTTACATTTGCTGCTGTGGTTGATGTTCAGTTTGCTAAAAAATTATTTAATAAATACAGTTGAAGTCAAAATTATTACCCCCCCCCCCTGTTTTATTTTTTTCCCCCAATTTCTGTTTAACGAAGAGAAGATTTTTTCAACATATTTCTAAACATAATAGTTTTAATAACTCATTTCTAATAACTGATTTATTTTATCTTTGCCATGATGACAGTACATATTTTACCTGATATTTTTCAAGACACTTCTATACAGCTTAAAGTGACATTTAAAGGCTTCACTAGGTTAATTAGGTTCACTAGGCAGGTTAGGTTTATTAGGCAAGTTATTGTATAATGATAGTTTGTTCTGAAGACAGTCTGTGAAAAAAAAATAGCTTAAAGGGGCTAATAATTTTGACCTTAAAATGGTTCATAAAAATTAATAACTGCTTTTATTCCAGCCGAAATAAAACAAGTAAGACTTTCTCCAGAAGAAAAATATTATCAGACATACTGTGAAAATTCCCTTGCTCTGTTAAACATCATTTGAGAAATATTTAAAAAGAAAAAAAATCAAAGGGGGATTAATAATTCTGACTTTAACTGTATATATTACATTTCTCAATAAATATAATAAATTTAAGACATGTTTATGTGATTTATTTGTTCCCTTTCCCCATTTCATTTTTCCCTTTCCAGATCGTCTCTATTTTGCTACTCTCAGAAGCAAACCCAAGAGCACGGCAAACACACATTTCTTCTGCACAGATGATGAATATATTTATGAAAAGTGAGTCTGCCCAAACTAAACAGCTTATGTGAAATTGCAGTTTTTGTTTCATATTTGTTTCAATAACAAGTGGTGAGTTTATACTTCATGTCTCCCTCAAGCTTTTATGCAGATTTTGGGCCACTCAATCTGGCAATGCTGTACAGATACTGCTGCAAACTCAATAAAAAACTAAAGGTAAGATTGGCATCTTTCATTCATATATCTGTGCTTGCGTCACATTGCTGTTTGCTATATTTCCAAAGAGTTAATCAGAAATTCATATTTATAATACTTGTTCATGTTACCCTTTGGATTCACAAACAATAAAAACATATTTTTAGCCAGCACACAAAATTAGCTTGCTTTAAATTTATTTTAAAATAAATTAAGTTCTGGGTATCTGTGGAGTCTTAAAAAGTCTTAAAATGTTTTAAATTTAAAAAAAATAAAAATTTAGGCCTTAAAAGTCTTAAATTCACTGAAATATTGTGTTGTGTGTCTTAAATCATTTTAAACAGGTCTTAATTTTCCTATGTCCATGTAAAGCTACCCAATCAAACCAACACCCATCTAATAACTATCATTCCATCTCAATAATGTTTTAACCAAAGTTTATTTATTAACTCTTATTTAAAAACTCTATTTACCAACTCTATTTCTATTTATAAACATGGGGTTTAACCAGCTTCCTTACTATAACATTTGTTTTTAATATTTTTTAAATGTTTTAACTTTGCCATTAGAAAAAGTCCTTAGCGTTTAGCCTTGTGTAAGTCTGAAATTGACTTCGTAATGGTCTCACAAAGGTCTTAAAAAGTCTTACATTTAACCTCTAAACCCTGAAGTTCCTTTCCCAGTGCTAGGGTGGCTGGAAGGGCATCTGCTGCGTAAAACAAATGCCAGAGTAATTGACGGTTCATTCTGCTGTGGCGACCCCTGATAAATCAAGCACTAAGCCGAAGGAAAATGAATGAATGAATGAAATAAAGTCTTCTGCTTAACTAAATACAAACTAACCTTGTTAATGCTAGTTAATATAATAACGCTAGTGTATATATATATATATATATATATATATATATATATATATATATATTCATTTATTCATTCATTTTCTCTTAGGCTTTGTCCCTTCACCAATCTGGGGTCACCACAACGAAATGAACCACCAACTTATCCAGCACATGTTTTACAAACATTCAAACACACTTATTCACACTCATACACTATGGACCATTTAGCCTACCCAGTTCACCTGTTCTGCATGTCTTTGGGTTTGTGTGGAAAACCGGGGCACCCGAAGGAAACCCACATGAATATGGGGAGAACATGCAAACTCCACACAGAAACGCCAACTGATCCATACGAGGCTTGAACCAGCGAACTTCTTGCTGTGAGGCAAACGTGCTACCCACTACGCCACCAGGCTGCCTATATTATATATAATTATAATAATATATCAGTAAATTAGTGAAATTAAACAAGACTAATCCATTCCACAAGTAACATAGTTGTTTTGAACGTTTACAAAGAAATGAAACTGGTTCGTTGAACCTTGTAACAGTGAGATACCTAAAACCTATTTTATCTCTCTTATTTGTGGACGAAAAAAAGAGGTAAACATTCTGTGGTGCAGTACCTGATAGGAAAAATGTATTAATAATATGCATGAATGCTAGATAATAGATGCACTAGGAGTCTAGGCTATACCCTGCCCTAGCATTATATAAATAAATTAATAAATCAATAATAATATTATTAAATATTCCAATTTTTTTTTTTAATTATTCACAATCTTTCTGCTCCGTCATTATTTTTTTTAAAATTCCAAATCAGAGAACACATTGCGAGTGACGCTTTCTATGGTAAGAGGGGAATGTATTGTCCCTAGATGTAAGAGCTCTTTTAGTCAATCCTCTTTTATTTATAAAGCCTCAAATCCATGGAAATATCTCATAACAGAAATAGTCACATGTACAAATTATAAGATGTTTTCTCACCTGACTAGGAGGTGGTTTTTGTTAAATGTGTACGCACTGAGTGAGATGTTTTTGAGTTGTCAGTGTTTTAGTTTAAATGTGATTATGCCTGAATGTTTTAAACTGACTTTTTTACTAATTGGATATTATTGTTTTAATTCTAACCTGTCCAGCGACTGCAGGTGGAAATTAGCAATCCTGCTACAACCTGGCACAATGCATCTTTCCTCCTTTAGGTTAATGTAATTTTTGTGCGTTGTCCCTGTTAAATAAATACATTCAATTCAATTAAAATAAAAAGTAATTGTTCAGGTTTTTTATTAAAGATAATCAGAACCCCTCAACAAAAGCATCCATACGATTGCAATGGTAAATTTAAAGAAAAACGAAAGAGTCTATAATGTAATGAGTTATAATCAGTTCCTGCAGTGAACAGTAGAGGGCGCTGTCATACTGTGAGAAAGTAGCCCTTATTATAAGCAGACAGAAGTTTCTGGCATGAATGATTTAACTGCAGTGACATGCTTTGCATCTGGAGCTGACAGATAAGGCGTATACACAACTCAAGTAAATTATGATAGAGCTTTTCTCACAGTTTTAAATGGTATATCTATTTTTTTATATCATTTTAAAACCAATTTCTTAAGCCATAATCCTGCTCCTATTCCTTTTTCCTGAGGTGTTGGGAAAAAAAGCTTTGACAAAGTCAGCACCACCAGGTTAATTTTCGCCTCTTTCTTAAGGAAATCATTATAAAAAGTTAAACTTTTTTTTTTTTAATTCAAAGAGTTATAAAACATCATTTGTGGGGTATTTTGAGAAAATTCACTTACACACTCTAGAGACCTTTGAGACTTAATTTACATCTTGTAAAAAAAAGGGCATAATAGTCACTCTTTAAATGAGAAATAAATTCTATGAAAGTACAGTCTAATTGTTCCTCTGTTCGAGACATTATTAAAGCAGTGCAACTGCACACAAAACAAAAAGACAAAGCTTTAAATAACACCTAGATCCACAGTTCATTTAAATACAAATATCCTGTCATCATTTTATCCTCTCATGTTGTTCCAAACATGTTCTGATCACATCAATACAGTCAGAGTGCATGATCAAGCTCTGAAAATGACAAAAAGACATACAAAACAGTAGCTTTGTATAAAGCACAGAGGGAAAGTTAAATTCTTTATGCACCCAACTTCATTCTTGCTGTAGGTTTTAAAAAGCTTTGGTCCCTCTTTATATTAGTTTGCCTTCTTTACTACTATGTCCTTTCATTCATTCATTCATTTATTCATTTTCTTGTCGGCTAAGTCCCTTTATTAATCTGGGGTTGCCACAGCGGAATGAACCGCCAACTTATCCAGCAGGTTTTTTTTTATGCAGCGGATGCCCTTCCAGCCGCAACCCATCTCTGGGAAACATCCACACATTCACACTACACAAAAAAATTCCGTAAAAAAACGGTAAAATGTACTGGCAGCTCATTACACAAATATTTTACCGTAAATTAAAAACGGAAAACTTCTGTTAATTGACAAGTGTGTCCACATTAAAAAAACTAAAAAATATCCGTTTTTTGACAGTTAAACTACTGTGAAATAACCAACTATTGGGGGAATGCTATCCCTTGTTCAATGCACTGTACAAAGAAAACATTTTTATTTCTATAAAATAATTAACATACCTTTTACACTCTCACTGACAAGCTGACGTTTATCGTTAATCCAGTCAGACTCACGCAGGTGCAGAGGGAGTGAGAGGGTGATTGGGACGTCACATCACTTCCCGCGCACGGCAGTTTAAAAAAATACGGACAAACAACTGTAAATGAACAGATATCATATTTACTGATGAGGAAAACGCATAAAAAGGTAAAAATTCATTAGATAAATGCTTGTTTAAATTATATTTAACCACTCATAGCTCAGTTTGATCTTAATGATATAAAGTCTGATCTTATTAACTATTAAACGTAATTCACTGCTGTACTTTCCATGGCCGCTTCAGACAAGACAAAAATCATTTTAAATAACGATACAAATGTAATAAAGCAGTATTTTAACTAAAATATTGTTATATGTTTTATTAATCGTACTCACCAGGGAAAAAACAGAGGAAGAAATATGTCCCGGTGTCCATCAAACGCTGCCTGAGCTGCGATCCCCTTCCCATAATGCAATTCGAAAATGTATATAAACGGAAAAACAACCGTAATACGTGTATACGGAAAAAATCCGTTAAAATATACAGTAATTTAACTGTTATTTTACAGATTTTTTTTACAGTGTACGGACAATTTAGCATACATAATTCACCTGTACCGCATGTCTTTGGACTGTGGGGGAAACCGGAGTACCCGGAGGAAATCCACGCGAACACATGGAGAACATGTAAACTCCACACAGAAACGCCAACTGAGTCGAGGATCAAACCAGTGACCTTCTTGCTGTGAGGCGAACGTGCTACCCACTGCTCCACTGCGTCGCCTTATGTCCTTTCATCAAAACATAAATACAATGCACTTACTGTGTTCATAACGCATTGCAGAACACTTCTGCTGCTCTTGAGGTAGGGTTAGTGACAGGTTTGTTGGTATCCATTTCAATGGGGTGATGTCATTGGCCCATGAGCATTTCCTGCTTGTTGTCAAACTTTTCATATCTCTAACAAGAAGTGATTCAATCATAACTTGATGCTGTAGCAGCTGTCATAACATTATCTATCAATATGTGGAAGATTTTGAACCTTCATAAGATATGGAAATTTAAAAAGTAGAACAGGAAATACGTCAGGACCATTACTGTTTACATCCCTCAAAATGGTCTATACTTTTAAAGTTTGGTAAAGGTGTAACAGATAATCAACAGTGTTATTACAGAAATTAATTGCGGGAGTAACAGCATGCAGGTATTTAATCAATCACAAGTACAATGTAAAAACTTGTATTTACACAATAAGTACAATGAATAAAATGATTAATTTTAGTGTAAGTACATATTAGTAAACGTCACCTAATATAAAGTGGGATCAAATCCTTTTTAAGGTTTTACAAGTATTTAAAGCTGCATGTAAATGTTTTCCTTTTCAGATCAACTATAACTTTAATTAATGTAAATGTGTGTTGTGTTTGTCTGCAGTCTTTCACACTGTCGAGAAAGCGCATCATCCATTACACCAGTTACGATCAGCGAAAGAGAGCCAACGCAGCCTTCCTCATCGGCGCTTATGCAGTGAGTCCAGCTTTTTCCTTTTTATAATGCCTATACAGAAATCTGATCTATATGAGCATGTTCAGTTAAAGTCAGAATTATTAGCCCCCCCTGAATTATTTTTTTCCCCAATTTCTGTTTAACAGAGAGGAGATGTTTTAAACACATTTCTAAACATAATAGTTTAAATAACTCATTTCTAATTGATTTATTTTATCTCTTGTTTGACTAGATGTTTTTCAAGACACTTCTATACAGCTTAAAGTGACATTTAAAGACTTAACTAGGTTAACTAGGCAGGTTAGGGTAATTAGGCAAGTTATTGTATAACGATGGTTTGTTCTGTAGATTATTGAAGAAAGAAATTAGCTTAAAGGGGCTAATCATTTTGACCTTAAAATGGTGTTTAAAAAATTAAAAACTACTTTCATTCTAGCCAAAATGAAACAAATAAGACTTTCTCCAGAAGAAAAAATATTATCAGACATACTGTGAAAATTTCCTTGCTCTGTTAAACATCATTTGGGAAATATTTAATAAAAGAATAGAAAAAAAAATCAAAGGGGGGCTAGTAGTTCTGACTTCAATTGTATTGTAGCTAATATATTTGAATGAACATATACAGTTGAAGTCAAAATTTCTAGCCCTTCTGTGAAATTTATTTATATATTTTTTTTTTTTTATATTTTGCTTGTCATGTTTTACAGAGCAACTAAAGTTTCACAGTATATTCTAATATATTAATTTCTTCAATGTAAATTCTGATTTGTTTTACTTTGGTTGGAATAAAAACAGTTTTTAATTTTTATAAGCAATTTTCAATTGTGTACAGAACAAACCACTTTCATCCAATAATTTGCCTTTTTAGAATAACTAATAACGTAGTTAATTAAGTCTTTATAACGCACTATAAGATGAATACTAAAATGCAAAATAAGTAGACAAATATTATGTACTGTCATGGCAAAGAAAAAACTATTATGTTTAATAATGTGTTGGAAAAAAACTTCTCTTTGTTTAACAGCACTAACTATTTTAGAAGAATTTAAATAATATTCACTTCATCTTTATGGCATTACAATGATTGGAAAAAAAGGATGTAAACAGTCATTTTTTTGCAATATTTAGAAATATACATTGCATAGATGTACACATATTGTATATATGAGATATCTAAAACTGAACTTGTATGTCATTTATGTAATTTGCTTTCACTCACCGGCCACTTATTAGGTACACCTGTCCAACTGCTCGTTAGCGCAAATTTCTAATCAGTCACTCACATGGCAGCAGCTCAATGCATTTAGGCATGTAGACATGGTGAAGACGATCTGCTCAAACCGAGCATCAGAATGGGTTGTTGGTGCCAAAAGGGCTGGTCTAAGTATTTCAGAAACTGCTGATCTACTGGGATTTTCACACACAACCATCTCCGGGGTTTATAGAGAATGGTCTGAAAAAGAGAAAATATCCAGTGAGCGGCAGTTCTGTGGGTGCAAATGCCTTGTTGATGCCAGAGATCAGAGGAGAATGGCCAGACTGGTTTGAGCTGACAGAAAGGCAACAGTAGCTCAAATAACCACTCGTTACAACCGAGGTCTGCAGAAGAGCATCTCTGAATGCACAACACGTCCAACCTTGAGGCAGATGGGCTACAGCAGCAGAAGACCACACCGGGTGCCACTCCTGTCAGCTAAGAACAGAAAACTGAGGCTACAATTCACACTCCAAAATTGGACAATAAAAGATTGAAAAAAACGTTGCCTGGTCTGATGAGTCTCGATTTCTGCTGTGACATTCGGATGGTAAGGTCAGAAATTTGCATCAACAACATTGTTTTGTATCAATGGTTCAGGCTGGTAGTGGTGGTGTAATGGTGTGGGAGATATTTTCTTGCCACACTTTGGGCCCATTAGGACTAACTGAGCCATCGTGTCAACGCCACAGCCTACCTGAGTAAAGTTGCTGACCATGTCCATCTCTTTATGACCATAGTGTACCCATCTTCTGATGGCTACTCACAGCAGGATAACGCACCATGTCATAAAGCGTGAATCATCTCAGACTGGTTTCTTGAACATGACAATGAATTCACTGTACTGAAATGGCCTCCAAAGTCAACAGACTGTGAAAGCACCTTTGAGATGTGGTGGAATGGAAGATTCATGGATGTGCTGTGACAAATCTGCAGCAACTGTGATGCTATCATGTCAATATGGACCAAAATCTCTGAAGAATATTTCCAGTACCTTGTCGAATCTATGCCACGAAGGATTAGTGCAGTTCTGAAGGCAAAAGTGGGTCCAACCTGGTACTAGTAAGGTGTACCTAATAAAGTGGCCGGTGAATATATATATTACCATAGAAACAAAGATCATCTTACTGCACCCATAAATGTAATACTCTAATCAAATTTCTATATGGGCGCAGTGTGCTGGTCTTTTTTTCTTGATTTCTTCCTCATGGTCTGAGGTTTGAGAGAGCCAGGGCAGTTAGAACAATGAACATTTACACCCGGCTTATTTAGTCTGCCAGAGATAACACCAGTCATGTCTTGCGTCTGTCTTTAGGTAATCTACTTAAAGAGAACTCCAGAGGAGGTGTACCGGGCCCTGATCTCCGGAACCAATGTGTCATACCTGCCCTTCAGGTAAGAAGCTGTAAACTGATCTGATCGTTTGTTATCATGCTAGTCATACCATATTTACTTCAGTTTCAATACTGTATAGTATAGAACAGTTTTACATTAACAGTTTATTCAAATTAGTGACCATCTCATAATAAACACAATAGTTACTCTTCCTGGTAATTTGTTATTTTTATAATGATGTAATTCAATTAATAACTTATTTACTATTTATGAGATGTAACTAGTAACAATTACTAATTACTTTTTAAAGTAACATTCCCAACACTGCTTATGTCATCCCATAATTTCTTCATTACTAAGCAGAAATTCAAACCATTTCCAAGTCAACGCTTAAAATCAAATTTGAAACTGTTTATTTTGCTAGCGCACATTGGTATACTTTAGGTCACAGGTGTCAAACTCAGTTCCAAAAGGGCCGCAGCTCTGCACAGTTTAGTTCCAACCCTAATTAAACACACCTGATCAAACTAATTGAGTCCTTCAGGCTTGTTTGAAACCTACAGGTAAGTGTGTTGGAGCAGGGTTGGAACTAAACTGTGCAGGGCTTCGGCCCTCCAGGAATTGAGTTTGACACCCCTGCTTTAGGTGAACAATTGTTCAGTGCAAGTTAATCCACTGTAATAAATGGTTGTTTTGATAATCTTAAATTAAAGTCTGACCATTTGCTTATGTGTTTAAAGTGGCAGTTTATCGCTATTAATGTCAGTTGGACAGCTTCAGCCACAATATTCTTAACCACGCCCCTCTTACTGTCAGTTTGCTATGAGGGAATATGCAAAAGAAAGCCCCGCCCCTTACTCGATATTTAGTTTCAGTTAGAAGCACATCACCATTCTGAAATAAAAGTCTCAGCAACTTACAGTTTGCGTGGACTTTAATGGTCGCCAAATTAGTGAAATTGTCAAAATATCAAATGTGTATGAACGCATTCACCATTTTGAGGCTGTATTGTCACAAATAGAATTTTAGAAAAGAAATAGAAAAGTATTCCAACCTTAATGCTTGATAGCAAACCACTGAGCACATGCAGTGTTCAACAAACCCCTCAGCCTTTTTTTGTTTAATAAGTGCATCATGTGGGTATTTTAAGTGCACTTTTTTATTTTTTATTTTAAGTTTCGGTGTGAATGATCTACTTACACTATTTATACTACAAAAATTGCACAGAATAGTGCCTAAGTATGTGATTTGGGACTCACCTTTAGTCTTATAGTTTATGTAATATTGGTTTTAGCATTACTATACTAGTATATTAATTAATAATAGTATATTATTGTCAGTGATTGTTAACTTGCTCGCCAATCTCCCCCTGCTTTACATTTCAGTTCTGTTTTCTCATTTGTCTGATACTTTTTTAAAGGCATAGTTCACCCCAAAAATGTACATTTACTCACTATTTACACACCCTCAAGTGGCAATAAACCTTTATGAGTTTCTTTCTTAGTGACACAGTGGTTTAGTGGTTAGCACTGTCGCCTCACAGCAAGAAGGTTGCTGGTTCGAGTCCTGGCTGGGTCAGACTCAGTTGGCATTTCTGTGTGGAGTTTGCATGTTCTCCCTGTTGGTGTGGGTTTCCTCTAGGTGCTCCAGTTTCCCCCACAGTCTAAAGACATGCGCTAAAGGTGAATTGAATGAACTAAATTGGCCGTAGTGTATGTGTGTGAATGAGTGTGTATGGATGTTTCCCAGTACTGAGTTGCAGCTGGAAGGGCATCCGCTGTTTAAAACAAATGCTGGATAAGTTGGTGATTCGTTCTGCTGTGATGAACCCTGATGAATAAAGGGACTAAGCCAGGGGTGTCCTGAAGAGTTTAGCTCCAAACACACCTGAACCAGCTAATCAAGCTCTTACTAGATACTAGAAATTTCCTGGCAGGTGTGTTGAAGCAAGTTGGAGCTAAACTCAGCAGGACACCGACCCTCCAGGACCGAGTTTGGACACCCCTGGACTAAGCAGAAGCAAAATAAATACTTTCTTCTGTGGAACACTAAAGAAGATATTGTCCTACTATGGAAGTCAATGATTACAGGGTTTTCAGCTTTCTTCAGATGAACTTCTTTTGGGTTTTACAGAAAAGCAAAACTGGAACAGGTTCACAATAAGTGGAGGGGGAGTTTTTTCACTCCAAGCATTTTCCACCTTCTTCAATATGGATCAATGTTCTGTTCTGATCTCAAGCCTGCATGGAAAACCACAGAGAAAGCACCAATCAGACACTGCGTTTATATATTGCCATCATGAAACTATTTGAAAATGTATTTGAAATATATGTAACATGAATATTGCATCTCTCTGACATCTCTCTGTATACTGTAAGTATACAATTGTTCAGAAGTATTATTTTTATTATTATTATTACTTATTTTATGCTTTTTGTTTCTTGTAATAAAGAGTTTCAAGCAATGTTTTTTTAACAGTGGTAATTGTAAGAAATCTTTCTTGAGCACCAATACAGCATATTAGAATGATTTCTGTAAGATTCTGTGACAATAAACACTAGTGTAAGGCTTTAAATACAGCTTGGCCATAACAAGAATAAATTACTTTAAAATATATATCTATTAAAATAGACAAATGTTACTTTTTAAATAGCATTTACACAATATGTTACACTGTATTTCATATCAAATAAATGCAGCATTGTTTAAGTGAAATATTACCGACTTTAAACTTTCAAAGGGTATATTTATATAAATTTGAGGTTGCCATGTGTATTCATACATTTACAAAACACAATAATTATCATCATATCATGTAATGTATTTAATGTTATTGTGTGTCCCTATAGAGATGCTGCTTTCGGGAATTGCACGTATGATCTAACCATTTTAGACTGTTTACAAGGTATCCGCAAGGTAAGTGTATAGAAAGTTCGTGACATTCTTGACCCATTTTTTTGGCCCCCTGGAAAGCAGAGACGAACAATGCGCTTTATCTCTTCCAATGTAATCTTTTAGTCCAATTATCTGTCTTTTCAATCTGACACTGAAGAATTGGCACAGGCACTGTCTGACGGATTACACAAAGGACACTCACAATGTGATCGTTCATAATGAAAAGCACAATGGGAAATTTGTGGGTGGAGGGGGTGGGTGAAATGCTCAATTTGAAACTGAAAGTTATTACACAGGGACTCTTGTTAGGGGTTGATCATTTATCTACAGATTCATTTAGGCATATATAGTTAAAGTCAAAATTATTAGCCCTCCCGTACAATTTAATTCATTAAAAGATATTATCCAATTGTTGCTAAATGGAGAGTTTTTTCCAACACATTTTTTTAAACATAGTTTTAATAACTCATTTCTAATAACTGATTTATTGTCTTGCACGGTGACAGTGCTTAATATGTTTCTACTTCTCTTGCAAGACACTAGTATTCAGCTTAAATTGCAATTTAAAAACTTATTTAGGTTAGTTAGTTTTTATGATTATATTTTTTTGAATTTTTCCACAAACAACCACAGAGAAACACACACACACACACACACACACACACACACACACACACAACACTCTGCACTGTCCCGAACAAACCCTATACAATAATGAGGCAATGAGCAAAACAACAATGACAACATAGTTAGCGGGTGATAACAGAAAATAAAATAAATAAATAAAAATGAATAAATAAATAAAAGAATAAAATTAAGGTTGAGGTTGAATTGCTGGTTTGTTCATCCAGATATTTGAGAAATACACCCCAGACACTGAAGAGTTTTTCAATAGAATGAGTCCTCAGTCTTTCTCTCTGTATTGCTGTAATCATGTCAGCTATTTATATTTGAAATGAAGAGGGTGAAGATGACTTCCAATGCCTGAGCACAAGCCTTTTAGCCACAATCATACCTAAAGACAAAGACTGCTGGAGTCCATCTGGGATATGGGAAATGTGTTGTTAATATCTGAAAATAGCAAGTTCTGCATCAGGTGGTAAAGATTTACTATAAGCTATATGATGAAAACATTTGACCAAAATGTATATAACAAAGAACTAAACCAGAAAGCATAAGTCTTCTGTCACTTTGTCACATAATAGTGATACAGAGGGAAACATTTTATGCAACTTGGCTTTAGTATGATGTTAGGTTAATTAGGTTAACTAGGAAAGTTAGGGTAATTAGGCAAGCTATCAGATAAATCTGTAGGCTATAAAGAATGTTAAGGAAGCTAATAATTTGCACCATAAAATAGTTTAAAAAGAAATTTTCTCAGACAAACAAATCCAAACAAACAAAAAAAAGACTTTTCCTCCAGAAGAAAAAAAAACAGGAATACTGTGAAAATTTCCTTGGTCCATTGAACTTCACTAAGGAAATATTTAAAAAAGAATACAAATTTCATTGGAGGGCTAATCATTTCGATGTCAGCTTTATTTGCTCCTTGGAAGACACGTTTCATCTGAAGATGCCAGTTATGTTTCATGGTGTCAGTAGAGACTCAAATTCATGCTTTGCTTTTATTTACTGAAATGTTAAGTCTTATTCTTAATTGCCTTTGTGTTATTTTCCCTTTAGGCCTTGCAGCACGGCTTCTTTGACTTTGAGAACTTTGATGTTGAAGAATATGAGCATTATGAGGTATCCTCTTTTTAAATATTAGTATCTTGTTTTCACTGATGGAGTTAAACTTTACAACACTGCGGAAAGGTATAATTCACAGATGAGACTCTGGTTGGTTTAATGCACATTATGCTCAAATCATACCCATAACTAGGGCCAGGCAGAATCTGCAGATATTTTTTGCCATTTCTGCCGAGAATTTTGTAAAAAAAACTTATGCGGAATTATTTTGGGTGTCTCATAACTAAAAGCTTAATATATTAAATAAAAATAAATAGCTTTTTAACTTTTATTTAATGTTTAAAATGCAAATCAATCTAGATCCACTTATTTGATAAACAAAGCAAGTCTCTCATACATCATATCTACTAAAAGACAGAAAATATGACTTTACAAACTGTATTGTAAATAAACTAGATTAACATTTTCATATTAGTCAGTAGTATTAGCTGAAATTAATTTTAAAACTGAATAAATATAAATGTACACAAGTAAATACATATACTCAATCATAGGCTAAACATCAGCAGATTTCTGCGTGCGCAAATTCTCTGTGTGCCTACCTATAACTCATTAAGACTATAAGGACAACCCTTTTAGACCATGTGCCTGGCACACAGACCATTTTTTCCATCCTTAAAATAGCAAAAGTGGATTCGGAGTTGTTTTCCGCCATCTGCTTTAGACTGTGCTTAGAATGTTCAATAAGAGCTCATGATGTGAACTGACTCTAGTTGATAAAACAATTTCTTTTAAAAATACCAGTTGGTTTTGGAAATTTTGTTATTCAATTTAATACATACATTAATAAATTTTTTTTTTCTTGAAAATGCATGTTTTAAAGTCCAGTTTTCAGTCTTTTACATGTCGAGATACAGATCTTTATCCTGTTTAACACTGATCTGATGAGCAATTCCAGCTTAAGCATCTCATATCATGTCCTGTCCTGATATTGTAAAGACGCATCATAGCGTTAATTATTTAATTAATGTTTTATTTACTGCGATGTATGTATAGTGCACACTCTATATGGCAGCTGTCCTATCGTAAACAACAAAAAGCAAAAAGGCATTCAAAAACCACTTTTAACTTCTTTAAATGAAGCGGTAGTTTGCTTTTCATGGATTCAGATGTTTTAGTGTGTTCAATTCAATTCTCACTTTAATTATTGTTTCAAAGCAGCTTTAAAAAAAAGTGCACCACATTATTTTATAATAAAAGATCAAATCGATAAAATGTCATTACAATCAAAATCTGAAAAGTTTAGGAGTTGTGTATAGGGCAGACATTATACAGTATATAAACATAGTTATCCTGCAGTTTATAATATCCTTCCGAAAAAGAAAATGTATACTGTGTACATGTTCAATGACCTGAATTAAGTGATTAAGTGATTAATGACCTGAATTAAGTAAGAATTAACTTTTTTTTTGCATTGAAGCGTGTGGAAAATGGTGACTTTAACTGGATTGTGCCAGGGAAATTGTTGGCCTTCAGTGGACCTCATCCCAAGAGCAAAATAGAGAATGGTAAGCTATTACCCAAGTTTTTTATTTTATTACGATTTTACTAGCTGGCCACAGCCATGTTACCCTCCAGCCTAAAGGCCCGTGCACACTGAGACGTTTTTTGTTTGCATTTTCCGTCGACGTTTAACGCCTTACGACTAAAGGCTGATTTGTACTTCTGCTTCCGGCGTATGCTACGGCGCTGACGCATAGCCCTTCGCCGTGGCCGTCGGCGTCGCTGACGTGCACCCCTCACAAAATGTAACTACACGTCGCAACAACGCGTAGCGCAAGCTCTGTGATTGGTCGGCTTGGTAGCGCTGACGAGTCTGGGCGAAACCGAGAGCCGCGCGAATGGCGCGAGCGATTGTTTACAACTGTGGAGTCCCGTGTAGGAGCTCCGGATGGAAAGTTTTGTTTTGTGTTTTCATTATAGTTAAAGTTGTTGCACATCCGCCGGTTCCTGCCTCAAAATGAGCGAGTTTTAGCCACTTGTACAAGGGTCACCAATCTTGGTCCTGGAGGGCCGGTGTCCCTGCAGGGTTTAGCTCCAACTTGCCTCAACAAACCTGCCTGGATGTTTCAAGTATACCTAGCAAGATCTTGATTAGCTTGTTCAGGTGTGTTTGATTAGGGTTGGAGCTAAAATGTGCAGGACACCGGCCCTCCAGGAACAAGTTTGATGACCACTGCACTTGTACATCCCGGAAGTGTTCAGTAAAAGCAAAAACACAGAGGAACATTTACACCTCACTGCCAACTAGCGTTTTGGAAGTGTTAATGCAGACCGACAGAGACAGCGCGCAGAAGTATAAATGCACAGCCACGCGCATTGCATGCGCCGTGAGTTACAAAACGGCAGGTGCAAAAGCGTCATTTTGAAAAAAACGCCTCATGCGCGTTTTTTTTGTTTTGACAAGCCGTGTCAAAACCTTCTCCACCAATCAGATCGGCACTTTTGCTCACGTGCACGGAGCTGCTAAAGTTACAGTAAACAGCACTTGGAGGCGCTCAAGCGCTAAACTGTCAATGCGAGCGCACATTGAAGAAGATGCCCAGAGGCGATATGAACGTGGAGCTGCTTATTGCACTGGTGAACAATAATCATTTCTTCATTGCTAGAGCTGGAGCTGCTGCTTGAACCATCCATGCTTGTTCGAGTCACCAGTAACTTTAACAACAAACGTGTCAACTTCCTCTCCTCCTCTTCTTCTGTGTTATAAGCGGGTGTCAGAAGCTGAGAAGTCGAGTAGCGCCCTCTAACGTCAAAAGAGTGATTTTGCATACTCTTCAGCTTGACGCCAGTGAAAAGCGCTTGGGATTGAAAACTGAAAAACGTTTTGTAAAACGCTGACGAAAACCGCAAACGAAAAGCGTCCCGGTGTGTATGAGAAGAACGATAACTCACTGAAGAAAGGCTGAGCCTGCTTAGTACCTGGATGGGAGATCATATGGAAAAACTATAGGTTGCTGCTCCTGTGAGGCCAGCAGGAGGTGCTCAACCTGTCCTAATGCCCCAGTATAGTGAAGGGGATACTTTAACATCAGTGAGCAACGTTTTTCGAATAAGATGTTAAACCGAGGTCAGACTTCCTGCGGTCGTTAAAAAATCCCATGGCACTTCTTGTAAATAGAAGGTGTGTAACCTAAGTGTCCTGACCTGGTCCAAACCATCCCCATCCACCAAATTCGTTCTATTATCTCTTGACACCCCCTAGAGCTGGTGTGTCCTGCGGCCGCCATCCCCATCCATGATAAATGCGCCATATAAAATGTACATTATTAATTACATGTTATTTTTTTATTTGCTTGAATTTCATTTCTTTCTTTTTTTTTTTGTTTAATTTTGATTTTGTGTTATTATTATTATTATTATTATTATTATGTGTACATATCAGACATTCCATGTGTCCCGGAAGTTACAGGAGTCTCCCGCATATGCATAGGGACTCCAGGATGCCTGCAAAAACAAATGATAATTTCCTGGAAATCATGTGTCTCCTCGCCAGTCCTCAAATCTCTTTAATGTTTATTGCCACCCTTCATAGACAGATTGGAAATACAAGAGAAATACAGCAAAATACCTTTACGGGAATAAAGCGGGATAGAATTGTAAAATACGGGAGAATCCTGGGAAAAACGGGAGGGTTCACAGGTATGGAACAGACAGGAAACTGAAAACCATACAAATGCAGTTTATTTGAATAAAAGGGGAAAAAAATATGAAGAATTCAGGCAAACTTCTTCATATTCAAATCATATATTTAGGTAAAAATGCCTAATAAAATTTTTTTGTTATATTTTTTTCTATATTTAATTTAAATATTATATGTAATTATCATGTTTTGCGTTTGACTGAGGTGTTTGGTTATAAATGATAATGAGGTTTTATATCTTAGTTTTAGGTTTCGTTTACTCCAAAAACCTTAAATCTTAAATCTCTACTCAAGCTAAAAACCGTCTTGGTGTTTGCAGGTTATCCTCTCCATGCTCCAGAAGCGTACTTTTCCTACTTCCGCCAGCACAACGTCACAGATGTTGTGCGATTGAACAAGAAGATCTATGAAGGGCGACGTTTCACAGATGCTGGGTTTGAACACCACGACCTGTTCTTCGTAGACGGCACTACACCTAGTGATCTCCTTACAAGACGATTTCTGCACATCTGTGAGAGCGCAAAGGGCGCTGTGGCTGTCCATTGCAAGGGTGAGATGCTTCTTATATCCGTGACTAAACTCAATCTTGTGTTCCAGAGTGTGCTGCAATATTATATACAAAGTTGAGGAGAAACATTGTACGATCATCCAGTATTTATTATTTAGATTTTTAATGTGTATTTATTAATACAATACTTATAAGATGAAGAATATCGTGCTCTTATTATGTTCACCTGATCAATACCTTACATTTTGTGGGCAAACAGTTCCATTGTACATCATTAAAATAGAAATTAATAAAGCACTGCTCACTTGGAAGTCACTTTCAAACACTTTTTCTGCTCTCAAATGCTCACTAAAGATTGCATAAAGGTTTTTAAGTACCATTTCTGTAGTATAAAATGATTATGAAAATTATTTTCAAATTATATTAAGCTTTAAAATGATATATAATTTAAGATTATTACTGGGATGTGACAGAATAAATAAAGAGTTCCATTTAAGCCAAAAAGTAACTCTGAGTTATTGGATTAAAGGGTATTGATTTTCGTTTTAATTGGTTTATTCTCTTTGCTTTTTTTGTCAACAAAATTGATTTATTATAAACCATAACATGACTATAATTATGATAAATTACTGGCAGAATTTTCACTTTATTTATTTTGTTATGATTTGTTAAGGTTTGTTTGATTTGTTCGCGTTCAAGCATGATGTTATCACAAAACCTGTCCATGTTGCAGTGGCATAGGGTGCCAGGATGTGCCAGGTGCCAGAGTGCCCTACAGTGGTGACTTGTACATGCAAAAACAGCCTAGATCAGGGGTCTCAAAGTCGCGGCCCGCGGGCCATTTGCGGCCCTCAGTGCAATATTTTGTGGCCCGCGCCGACCGCTGTACTCTGACAGAATCAGCAGAGCGGGGAGAGAGAGCGCTCCCCGCTCCGCTGATTCTATGCGTACACAGCGCGCTTGTCACTCAATGCGCGTTGTCGCGCGCGTTCTGATCAGCTGATCGCGCTTACTCAAGAGCGGTGTTATTGCGCGCCTACTGAAGGGCGGGGCCGAGGGTGTGTCGCGTCGCGGGGGCACTTTTGATCATTTTGGAAGGGCACTTTCTATGCAAGACCAAAAAGGGCATGTGCTCTGCACAGGTTGAGCCCTATGTGTGCACGTGCCTGCCCTGCATCTTATATATATTATCAGCCTGATCTCACGAATTAGATCGTAAGAATTCATACGAATTAGCCACTAAATGAAAAAGTTACGAATTGCCGTGAGATTGTGTTGATATTATAGGTAGATACAGACTGATGTGACTGGAGAGGGGTGGGGGTGTTTTATTTATACATATATACGCCTTTTTTTAGGTGAGGGAATGGAAGTTTTGAGTGAGTTCCCCCACTTTTTTCCCTAGGACTTCAATAAGTCAAAGTACAGGTCTAGACTTAATGATGATCATCTTAAAGCCATACTGAGGGTCTCAACTGCTTCCGCTCTAAAGCCAAATGTGGTTCAGATTTGTGAGATGAATCGCTGTCAAGTCTCTGGCAGCAAGAAGTAGGCAAAAGATGCCATGTTCAGAAGAACTGTTCATAATCTTCACTCAATGTTCTATTAATGTTCAGGACACTTCATGTTCAGAAGAAATAATTAAAACTGTTAATAATGACATTTGAGGACTTTTTTGTGTGAAATCCCTTATGCGGCCCAGCCTCACCCAGACTTTGCCTCCTGCGGCCCCCAGGTAAATTGAGTTTGAGACCCCTGGCCTAGATGCTGAATAATTCTTTACACAACAGTCCTAATCTAAAATAAAACAGGAAAACTCCACATGTCTTAATTTGATTAGGATTTATGACGATTATTGCTTTATAGGCATATCTAAATTGCCATTCCATCGTATGTTATGAGCCGTGGTTAATGCGTGTGGCTGCAGTTGTAGCAGCCTCTGCTTTTGGACGCGGCAACCCTTGAACACCGCTGAAGGAAAAAAAAAATGGTTATGTCACAATCACCCACCCCACACGAGTGACACGCAACTCCGAGGCCAGCCTGTCAGGTGTGTGCAAAGCACTTGATGTGCAATTCTAATTTAGTTTAGTTTAGTTTAAACTTTATTGTCCGTTCTGCTTGACACAGAAAGGAAATTTTTCTTCAACACTGGATTTAGGACAACAATTACAAACATACAACAAAGACACAATAACACTTATCAAGACAACAACATAAGTTAAAAGTTTAAAAACCAAATTAGCCCCATGCACAATACTGCAAATCATTCTTGGAAACCACCTCATTCACTACAAACATTGATCCGGTTTAGAACAACAACAGCCATTGGGATAAATGACTTTTTATAGGCATTTCTTTGTGCTTTAGGAATTCTAAACCTGCGTCCTGATGGTAGCAATTCAAATGCTGAGTGAAGAGGATGTGTATTATCTTTAAAAATCACAACTGCTCTTTTTTCCATAAAAGAGTCAAATAAAATCTGCAATGAATGCTGTTTGTGACCAGTTATCTTATTTGCCTGATTGATAATTTGCGCTAATTTCTTTTTCTGTTTAAGTGTTGTGTTACCAAACCATGAAACAATATTATATGTGAGAACACTCTCTATAAGTGATCTATATGCCAAGTTTAAAGTCTGTGTACTAACATTAAAACTTCTCAATTTGCGGAGGAGATAGAGGCGCTGACTTGCTTTCTTATAAACCGCCTCTACATTACTATTAAAATTCAGTTTATTGTCAATAATTGTGCCTAGATACTTGAAATTTGAAACCTGCTCTACTATTTAATCCAATCCTGCTTCCAATCTCCAGTACTAAATTCCCCCTTACACTAAAACATCACAACCCACGAGACAACTTTTCACCTCGAGATATCGTCACATCTCTACAAAATGCCATAGCGGTTGATTGAATGCTTAATCTTTCAAGGAAAGTGTTCTCTTGTCTTTTCCAAATATTTTGTTTTCCATACATAATCATTTTTCCTATTGTCTCTGCACAGCTGGCCTTGGCAGGACGGGCACTCTGATAGGATGCTACCTGATGAAGCATTATCGCTTCACAGCACCTGAGGCCATTGCGTGGACACGAATCTGCAGGCCAGGCTCTGTCATTGGACCACAGCAGCATTTTCTCGAACAGTAAGTCCACACATTCTAATAGTAAATACACAAAAGGCAGATTGAAGCATGTTCGGATGTAAAGCAGCTTAAATGATCCTGTTCAAAACTGCTTTCTTTCTCTCAGGAAGCAGCACAGCATGTGGGTGCAAGGTGATCTCCATCGCTCAAAGCAGAAGCAACAGCAGCTGAGGCAAAGCCGACAGCAGGAGAGAAACATGTCCCATCTCATCTCCAGCGTGGACAACTTGTCGATCGACAGCAGCATTCTGAAGCCACCAAGTGTGGATGAGGTAAGAACTCTGAGAACCTGAAGTTTCCAATCGCACAAAAAGTGCACAAAACCTATTTTAATATTGACAATGTGTTTTGTTAATCTACAGAATGAGTTCAGAGAAGAGGACATGATTCTAACGCAAGGAGACAAACTACTAGCCTTGAAAGGCCAACGCCACCCCAGATCTACCACCACAGTGCTTAGGTAGACCTTCAGTTATAATAAATAAAGCGTATGAGTGTTTGTCGAGGACATTGACACAGTGTCAACATTATTGTCAATAGTCTCAGTCAAGAATCAGTATCACCATCACAATGTAGCAGTAAAATATAGAAGTTTTTTGGGGATTATTTAGAGCAGTAAAACAAAAAATGCTCACAGTGGATTCGGAAAGTATTCAGTGTTTTGCTATGCACTATTTCTTTCAAACATTTCAAAATTTAAACTTGGAATGATTAAAATAACTGTAAAGTCATCTCTCTTAGGTGTAATTTGCTTTCAAAGTGTTTTTACAGTTTACTTTTAGCGATCATCCTATTGACAATTGTGTTCCCTTCGTAGTGCACTTCGAAAACATTTGACATTTTTACCACAGCCGTGGCTCATGACGAAATCTATAGGTGACCTATTATTTAAAAGCAGAATTTACGTTTTGTCTCCAAAGCTTGTGAAAACAAAAAACACGGCATACGTTAATGCTTTTCATTTATAGTATGTTATTTATTATGAAATGTATCTGTGCTCTAGGCCTATATGACATGGGCCTGTTGGTTAGAACATTTTTTGCAGTGGTTTGAATGTGTCAAAGTTGTTAAAAAGTAGACCAAAAGAAAAGAAAAAAAAGAAAAATCAATCAATTTACTATATCCTACTTAATAATAATAAAATATTAATTATTATTATTATCATTACTATTAATAAATAGCCTACTTTAAATTACAAACATTAGTAATTTATATGATTTATATACGAGACTAGAATTTGTGTTAGTTAAGTGTGGTTTTTGTGTTTTAGCATGGAATATGGAATATTCTCAATAATATTTGTAAAGGAAACATTGGCCTTATATTTGCCGTTTACATATATTTCAGATATTATGGAATGCGAATGCATGTTTTTACCAAACTAATATTGGATTTTTTTAAGTGTGTATATGTAAAACAACATAGTTTTATACCAAAAATTATGAGAGGGTGCTCCCTGCAGAGCCATTTGAGCAGAGCTGAGCTCCAGCGAAGGGGAGCATGAGCTCTCGCTCTGCCTCCTGTAAGCTGTTTTAATGCGTACACCAACCCCACCCCTAACCCTACCCCCAGTGACATCACTCGTAGAAGAAGTGCAAAAAAGGTGGAGCTCAAGCTCCCCCTCGCTGGAGCTCAGCTTGCCCAAATGGCTCTGCAGCGAGCACCACTTTTTTGGCCATTTTCTTCACCCCGTTTAGAGCGTCTTTATGGAGGTTTTACGTTGTAACTAACTTGGTTAAAAAAATGAATCTGTAACAGAGAAACTACAGTTTTGGGAAAACACTTGTGATTACACCCCAGATTGAAAGCCTATTGACCTTATTCTAAAATGCGGAAGTGCGCCTGTTCTCGCGACTGTTTTAGAACTTCCGATTCAGTCGTCTATGGGAGAAATGACTAGGAATAATAAACGGCAGAAAACGGTCTAAGTACTTGCTCTACAAACAAAAGTTTGCATGACTATACAGACCAAGTAGAATAATATAATTAGAAAATATCAGTTTGCAACATCAAGCAGCGTAACGAGCAGTTTTTAACTTCTAAAAATGGATGGAAGTGAATGAGACCGGAAGTCTCGAGCCAAAAAGAATAAGGTGAATAGCATTAAAATGATAACTCTTATCACTAGTTACGTTTTCCAAAACGTAAGAAAGATTTAGGCGAAGATGAGTTAATTGTTCATAATTGTTAATAATTCATATCATGGGTGTTTTTTTGTTTGTTATGTAGTCAAATAAAAATAAGTATTCTAAATCAGGTTCATTAATAGGACTTTAATGAAGTGTATGCAAGATTTAGACACTAAAGTGACAAACAATGACTGTAATAATCTAAACAATAGTTTGAACAACCACTTAAGAGCCACAATAGATACAAAGGGGTTAAAAGTGAAAGTGAAAAATCTAAGCAAGGAAATGAATCAATAGTTTCAACTATCTGAAAAATGTCAAGAGGTTTACCAGCTTATACGGAACCATTGTTTAATGTAATGTACGATAAGTTCAGCTGTTATGCAAGTGTTCAGAATCGTCTGGGAGGAAAATCTAAATGGATCATTCAATGGTGGAGTTATCGGTTTCTTTCTGGCTAAGTGAAGAATGACTGGCACACAACATTTCCTGTCTGGGCAGTTTTCCTTATTTGTCTACCAGACTAAGAAGAAGTAGCCTTTATTTCTACCAAGGTTACATATACTGTAGGATGCCCTAGCCAATGTTATGGTGTGGTTCTCCATGCAGAAAGGGACGTGATCTAAAGTACAGTACATGCAAATATTGATGATGTGCTAATATATAGCAACCTGAGCAATGCAACAGTCTGTTTTTTGTTTTGTTTTTTGTTTTGTGATTTTTGCTTGTTTTCTACCCGGGTTTCTACCAATGTTGTTTGAGGCTATAGCTATGGCCATTTCTACAGGGGTTGCACAATGAAACTGAAATGCCTTGTTTTAGACCATAATAATTCATTAGTGTGGTGTAGGGCCCCCTTTTGTAGCCAATGCAGCTTCAATTTGACTTGGGAATGACAGATACAAGTCCTGCACAGTAGCCAGAGGGATTTTGAACCATTCTTCTTGCAGAATGGGGGCCAGGTCACTACATGATGCTGGTGGAGGTAAATGTTTCCTAGCTCGCTCATCCAAAACACCCCTAAGTGACTCGACAATATTTAGGTCTGGTGACTGTGCAGGCCATGGAAGATCTTCATTTTCATGTTCATCAAACCACTCTGTCACCAGTCTTGGTATGTTTATTGGTACATAATCATCCTCATACACGGCATCACCTTCAGGATACAATGTTTGAACCATTGCGGGCGCATGGTCCTCCAAAATGTTTCAGTAGTCCATCTAGCACAAGTATTGAGCCTATAGGGAATGCCTTGATATTGAAGCCCAAACCATCACTGATCCACCCCAATACTTCACTCTGGGCATGATATAGTCTGGGTGGTACGCTTCTTTGGGGGCTTCTCCACACCGTAACTCTCCCGGAAGTGGGAAAGACAGTGAATGTGGACTCATCAGAGACACCAACAATTTGTCTTCTTTAAACGCCAGGAAACCCCAAACACTAAATTGGACAGTTTCACTTTCATTTTTCCACCCCTGTATATACTGATCTCTTATTATTTGACTATGCCTAGGTATACTCGGATTTTCATTATAGGACGAATACATTTTTCTGGGCTAGTGCATATGCCTTTTTAGTAATAAGATCCAGTAGGCACAGTATGAGCAGTGGTCTGTTGAATTAATCTCACAATTTATCAATGTCATATATTACCCCATCAGTCCTACACCACTCAGCCTGCTTCGAGCTGGGATCAAACATGGCGACTCTTCCTACGGGAGTCGGTTGCTCTAACAAGGAGGCTAAAGACCATGGCCTCTAACATCTGTCGCTAGAGCGCCTTTAGAAGTTAGAGGAGTGAGGTTTACCTGCACAGCACTTGACTAGCTGGCCTTCGCTACATACACCATACACCAATCGGTCTGTGCTGCTCAGCTTTACATCATACACACCTTATGCCTTAAAGGGATAGTTTGCCAAATAAAAAATACTCTTTTTTTTTTTTAGCCAAGTTAGTCAGTTGTGAAACAGTTTTCATCTACAATGATGACCTGGCCATAAAAGTGCCTCAGAGATCCACAATTAGAACTGTACATGTCAACTCTATCTGATCATAGGCAACAAAACGTTGTTTGATTTTGGTTTGAATTGATTTGATTTTAAATATGAAATGAATTTGATAAAAAACTTGGATGTTTTTTTTTTCCATTCTGAAATATGGCCAAAGAGGTATTTCAAGGATGCAATTTCAGCTGGTTGACTTTTGCCCAAGAGTTGCTGTGATGTTTAAAATACTATTGCACTAAAGCACTTCCCGTGTTTGCAATGATTATTCATTGGAAATCTCCTTTTATTGGGATCTTCATAAAAGATGAGTAAACAGTTTAATAAACTCTGCAATTTAAAATCTTTGGCAGTGGGATAAACCCAGCACCAGGAACCATTTCTCCTCCCAAGACAACCAAAGCTCCACTCTTCCATCCCTCCTCCACTGAACCACTGATGCGAAACCCTTCCTCCTCCGCCGGCAATCTACAGAGGTACAGCAATTTGTCTCCACAGCTAGTGTGTATTTTGTTAGAAATGTTGTTAACCCCGCCTTATTCGCTCCACATAGTATCAATCCCCGTTTAGCCCATTCCCTTGGCAACCTCTACGATGACAACAGCCTCAATGATGATGACAGCAGCACCCCTCCTTCCTCCTTTCCACCTTCCCCACCTCCTGCCCCGGCCCAGGGTCCTCCCATTCCTTCATCTGGCTTCAGTTTTGGGTACACCACTGCTGACCCCAGACTTCCTCCTTCCCATTTAAACTTCAATCAGGAGGCCAACACCAATCCCAACGGCCTCATCGCAACAAACACAATTAGCGCTAATCGCACTGTCAGGCCTGTGAACAGAACTGGTTTTGGGATGTTCTCTGGCGGTCGGCCGGGCCCTCGTAGAGGCCCATTGCGCACTGGACTAAATGGGTTTCCAGGACGCTACCTCAGCAGATCTATTCCAGTGAGTGATCATTTGGCCGCCTTCATCATCTCTTCAGCCCTTGATTTTCACTCCAACTTCAGCTCCACAACTAACTTTCCTTCACCTCCCATTTTTCCTCTGGCCTCACCTACTGCGTCTGTGCAACAGTATTATTGTGCTCTCTGTTTTTTATTTCCTACTTTAAAGGAACGGTTTGCCTTTATGTTGTTCCAAACTTGTTTTTTTTTCTTTCATGTGAATGATTAAGTCAGTATTTCCTATCCAAAAAGGGTAAATTGTCAAGTTTTAGATATTAGAGGGATAGTTTAGCCCAAACTAAAACCATTTACTAGTTCCAAACCAATTTGGCTTTCTTTATCTGTTTTGAGTGTTGAAGAAATCTGCAACCATTGACTTCCATAGTATTTGTTTCTTACCATGGATGTCAATGGCTACAAGGTTCTCGCTTGCTTTGGAATTTAGAAACTTATGAAGATTTGCAACCACTTGACAGTATGTTTTTGGGTGAACTATCCCATTAGCTTGTCTTACCTCACACTCCACAGTTAAAAGTGTTTTAGATTTGGGTTGGAATTCTTGTTTGCTATCTGTGAACAGTAAAGCTCCACCTGCTTTGGTTAAATTAGTCTATAAGGGATACAGCCGTGGATACACACATCAGTATAGTATATTTGTTGTGATACTGTACAACAATCATTTCCATTTATATGTTACTGTGAGGGTTGGGGTGAGTGTTAGTAAAATGCAGTTTAATAGGTAGTTTAATTAATAATATTGTCAATACTCTGTATAATTACAGTTTTTACATTACTGTGAGGGTTGGGGTGGGGGTAGACGTTAATTTATTGGGTAATTTAATGAATGATTCTTGTTATAATGACTGTTTTACATTACTGTGAGGATTGGGTTTAGTGTTGAGGTGGGGGTGGACGTTCATAAAATACAATAATTGAGTAATTTAATAAATAATATAGACAATTCTTGTTATAATGACTGTCATTACATTACTGTGAAGATTGGGTTTAGCGTTGGGGTGGGGTGGACGTTAATAAAATATAAAAATTGAGTAATTTAATAAATAATATAGACAATTCTCGTTATAATGACTGTTTTTACATTACTGTGAGGGTTGGGGTGGGGGTAGACGTTAATTTATTGGGTAATTTAATGAACAATTCTCGTTATAATGACTGTTTTACATTACTGTGAGGATTGGGTTTAGCCTTGAGGTGGGGGTGGACGTTCATAAAATCCAATAATTGAGTAATTTAATAAATAATATAGACAATTCTCGTTATAATGACTGTCTTTACATTACTGTGAGGATTGGGTTTAGCGTTGGGGTGGGGGTGGACGTTCATAAAATACAAAAATTTAGTAATTTAACAAATAATATAGACAATTCTCGTTATAATGACTGTTTTTACATTACTGTGAAGATTGGGTTTAGCGTTGAGGTGGGGGTGGACGTTCATAAAATACAATAATTGAGTAATTTAATAAATAATATAGACAATTCTTGTTATAATGACTGTTTTTACATTACTGTGAGGATTGGGTTTAGCATTGGGGTGGGGGTTAATAAAACACAATTATTGGGTAATTTAATAAAAAATTTCAATAATTCTCCTTAAAATTACCATTACATTGCTGTGAAGGTTGGGATTAAGGTTGGGGTGGACATTAATAAAATACAGTAACTGAGTAATTTAACAAATAATATTGATAATTCTCATTGTAATTATTTTTTTTACATTACTGTGAGGGTTGGAGTGGGGGTAGATGTGAATAAAATACAGTTTATTGGGTAATGTAGTATAAAATAATGATTCTCGCTGTAATTTATTGTTTGTACATCACTGTGGTGGTTGGGTTTAGAGTTGGGGTGGGGGTGGACGGTAATGATATACAATTATTGAGTAATTTAATAAATAACATCAATAAATCTTGTTAACCTCCGGCTGCAGCTGTATCCCTTCTAGAATTATTTGTCTCAGCTATGTTGACATCATCTGCAGAAATGTCCATGCCTGTGAGGTCTGTTTTGGAATTGTGCACAAATTTGCTGATTGGTAAATCTGGTCCTAAAACTCATAAGATTTGTTACAGTTACGCCTGTCGTTCACTACTCCAGCATCTTCAGCCTGCAAAAATGGAACGTTTTAAAAATGCTGTAGTTCCGCTTCAGTGTAGACAACCTGAAATGCATAATTGTGCAAACAAAGGTGCAGCTATCTACAATTTCTGAATGCTGATTGCTGCTTTATATTTCAGCTCAGTGTGGTGGTAAAGGAATTTGAAACCATGATCTCTTTTGGGCACATTTCATGTTCATATTTCTCCTTTTTTAGACTTGAACTTGAATGTAAATTGCTGTTAATATCGCAAATAAGCATTTATAGTTTTTTTTGCCGGGAGCGTTGTGGTAGACTAGCATAAGTTAGTGTGCAAAATTAAGAGTAATTTAAACATTTTACAGTAAAGATGCATGCACTACCTGACAAAAGTCTTGTCGTTGATTCCAGTTGTAAGAGCAATAAATAATAACTTCTAGTTGATCATTTGGGAAAGTGGAAGGTAGATTTTTCTGATGAACCATCTGCTGAATAGCATCCCAATCATCACAAACACTGCAGAAGACCTATTGGAACCCGCATGGACCCAAGATTCTCATAGAAATCAGTCAAGTTTGGTGAAGGAAAAATCATGGTTTGGGGTTACATTTAGTATGGGGGCGTTAGAGAGATCTGCAGAGTGGATGGCAACATCAACAGCCTGAGGTATCAAGACATTAAAAACCACAGGAGAGGGCAAATTCTTCAGCAGGATAGCGCTCCTTCTCATACTTCAGCCTCCACATCAAAGTTCCTGAAAGCAAAGATCAAGGTACGGCATGATTGGCCAGCCCAGTCACCAGATTTGAACATTATTAGGCATGTCTTGGGTAAGATAAAGGAAGAGGCATTGAAGATGAATCCAAAGAATCTTGAGGAACTCTGAGAGTCCTGCATGAACGCTTTCTTCGCCATTCCAGATGACTTTATTAATAAGTTATTTGGCTCATTGCAGAGCTGTATGGATGCAGTCCTCCAAGCTCATGATGGAGTCAGACATAATATTCATTCTTTCTCCACTGCAGCATGACTTTATATTCTATACTGGACATTATTTCTGTTAAAGTGACAAGACTTTTGTCTAAGCAAAGTCAGAGCTTACTGTCCTAATTAAATTATTAAAACTCAAGGCATGATCATATTTTATTTTGGTAAAATTAGTGTAATCTAGATTACCTTGCCTTTCATATAAACCCCTTCTGACACCAAATGATCAACTAAAAGTCAAGATATTATTTGTTTTCCCTAAAACATGGATAGGCGACAAGACTTCTGTCAGTTAGTGTAGTGTATTTTCAATTTAGTATAATCAATGTAGTTTGAGGATTCCAAATATGTTTAATACTTTGCTGTTAGTGCTTACTGTTGCATTTGTACAACTTAAAAGTATATGATGTATAGTGTACTTATTAATTTGGGTAATGTATGCTATCTAGTTTGCACACGTCTTTCACCTCAGTTAATGACAATCTCTCTGTCTCTCCACAGTCCCTTCAGTCTGAATATGCTCAGTACTAAGGCTATGGTTATACACTGAAGGCCATCACACCTGACGCTTTGACCATGGATGGATCATTTCTCAATAAAATGTGGAATTTGTATTTAGAAAATCTCAAGCTGGACTAAAGTGTTAATACATTTATGCAGTGTTTCAGATTAGAAGGTAATATCTGTAAGCCAGATGTATTAATAACAAAAATATTGAGTCATTATTATTTTTTCTACATTAAAAATCTACATTTTTGTGACTAATATTAAATAAATCAAGGGTATTTTCTCTCTCTCTTTAGAAAGTCACAATTGTAATGTAAATCTAAGCAGCTGTACATGCAGAAATATACATGATCATGGTTTTGATTCAGTTATGTAGTAATATTATTGTACAGAGATGATTTTTAAATGTTTTGTACAGATAGTTGTCATTTTAACCAATGTAATTAAGATGCAAACATTATTAAACATCTGCTGTCATTATAAGTTATCTGAACTGGTAAAGATATGAAATGGTCATTATTCGTGTGTACAAAAAGACTGTCAATGTTATATACATTATTGTTAAAGGTTTTAGAACTGTAAGATTTTTTATGTTTTTTAAAGTCCCCACAGCTCACCAAGCCTGCATTTATTTGAAGTTTGCGTGTGTGTGTGCATGTATAAAGATCCTACCATTTAAAATTGTAATATTTACCATAAGAACCGCTAAATGCCATTAGTAAGTAGTTTGTATACTTAAACTCGACAAGTATATTTTATAACAATTAACTTTAAGGATTACACTGCCTGAAATGGTAATTAAATGTATGTTATTCATTCAATCATTTTCCTTAGCCTTAGTCCCTTTTTTCATCAGGGGTCGCCACAGCGGAATGAACCACCAACTGTTCTAGAATATGTTTTACACCACAGGTGTCAAACTCAGTTCCAAAAGGGCCGCAGCTCTGCACAGTTTAGTTCCAACCCTAATTAAGCACACCTGATCAGACTAATTGAGTCCTTCAGGCTTGTTTGAAACCTACAGGTAAGTGTGTTGGAGCAGGGTTGGAACTAAACTGTGCAGGGCTTCGGCCCTCCAGGAATTGAGTTTGACACCCCTGTTTTACACAGTGGATGCCCTTCCAGCTGTAACCCAGTACTGAGAAACATCAATACACACTCATTCACACACACACTTGTACACTACGGACAATTTTGTTTACCCAATTCACCTATAGCACATGTCTTTGGACTGTGTGGGAAACCGTAGCACCCAGAGGAAACACGTGAAAACATGCAAACTCCACACAAAAACACCAACTGACCCAGCCGGGACTCAAACCAGTTACCATGTTGTCTAAAATGTCCTAAATATCCCAGGTTTTGGCCAACTGTTTGCAAGAAGAAAAAATGAATGAACAGAGTTTTTAATATACTTTAGTGTGGTCACTTATTGTTTAATGTATTTTTTATAGGCTCAAGTACATTTCAGAATAAGGGTTTCACTTGGCATAGATTGATCTGTTGGGGTTAATAATAATGTTTTATGCATTTCAAACGTAGCGATTATGCTTTCTGTATAGACTCACATTTTAAAAACGAGAAAACCAAAATGTGTGATAAATATTTAGGTGTATTTTCTTACATTCAAAACAGTATATTAAAATTGATGTTAAATTAAAAACGTAGAGGGGGTTAGTTTTATGCACAGTTTAAAGAAATGAGGAGAACGTTAGCAGGTGTGGCTGGAAGTCTGAAAGGTAGAAAAAGAAAGTGATGGAATTTTGGTCAGGAAACCAGTGCTGGAAGTATCCAAGAGCTACTGCAGCTGTTTCTGAGTCCACATGCTGAAGATACAACTAAAGCAAATCTACCATGTTCGGAGTGAAATGCATCCCCTTTGCGTTGTGGATTATTATTCTCGTAGCAGGTAAGAACACCTCAAATATCATTATTCCCTTTTAACAGTTGACGTTTCACTAGTTTGACAAGAGGACACATTTTCACAGGGGAAAATGACTTAAAACTCAAGTTAACTCCATTAAACCCTGCGGTTCATGTTGGTGAGGATTTGAGGCTGACCTGCAGCTGCAATTCCTGTTCGGTTAATGTGACCTTCACATGGAAAACGTTACTTGACAGATTTCACGGCGGAGTAGTTGAGGACGAGCCGACTGTTTCCCGCCTGCTGATCAGGAGCATCTCGACTGAACACAACATCAAACTCGTCTGTAAAGCTAACTGTGGGAGCGAACGTTCAGAAAAAACTTCAGCAATAAATGTGTACTGTAAGTAACCTAATATTTTTCCTTATAGTTATTTGTATAAATAGGCTAATAGTAATACATGTTGCTAATATTTATTCACTGACTAGCTGCTTGGAACTTAAATATTGAAGTGTAGCCTATATGCTGCGTTGTCTTTTTATCTTCTTGTAAATAGCAATAAAAGTGTTTTTGGCTCATAATAGAAACAACTTTAACTGCTAAAATGGTGATACCTTAAAGACATTGTTAACTCAAAAATGATAATTCTGTCATCATTTACTCACCTTTTATTTTTTTTCCCAGTTTAGATTTTTCATTGAAAAATGTCAGAAACCTAAAAATTAAGTTTCATTGCATTTGCTTTTCCTACTATATGAATGTCAACAGGTTTTCAGATTTTAAAATGTCTTTATTTGTGTTCAACTGAATTAAGAAACTCAAAGATTTGACAACTTGAGTAAACAACATTTTTTGGGGGGTTGAATTATCCCTTTAATCACCCAAATTTGATTATGAGCTAAAGAACCACTTAGTAGTGCTAAATAAACAGTACCTCAACTTCCCTAAAAAACTACTAAACATATATTAGAATATCCTTTTGTTCAATTTTCATTTAATGTGACTGGGTACAAATAATAATTAAAAATAATAATTACAACAGGAGCAGATAAAAAAATGATAAGAGCATAGTATAACAGATGAGTTTGGGTGTGGTTGGACATGGTATTATTTATAAATTGTTATAATTAAATTTATTTAATTTTTTTTCATTCATTCATTTTCTTGTCGGCTTAGTCCCTTTATTAATCCGGGGTCGCCACAGCGGAAATTACCGCCAACTTATCCAGCAAGTTTTTATGCAGCGGATGCCCTTCCAGCCGCACACTCATACGCTATGGACAATTTAGCCTACCCAATTCACCTGTACCATGTCTTTAGACTGTGGGGGAAACCAGAGCATCCGGAGGAAACCCACACGAAGGCAGGTAGAACATGCAAACTCCACAAAGAAACGCCAACTGAGCCGAGGTTTGAACCAGCGACCTTCTTGCTGTGAGGCGACAGCACTACCTACTGCGCCACTGCCTCGATGATTTTTTTTTTTTTTACATGTCTGTTACATGTAGTCTTTGTGGGTTTTTACGTACAGCAAACCTCTTTTTTTTACCAAAACAAATTTCTCCTAGGTAGACAATAAATCATACCTTGACCTTAAAAAGATAAATTTGTGTGTAGCAGTTTTATTATTGAACGAATTGCTATATTTTAAAAAATGAATTAAAATATATAGAATTTGTTTATGATGAGAATTACACTGATTTTAATGCAATCTCTAATTGTGAGTCCCTGTGGGTCTCAATCTTTATCTTTTACTGGTGACATGTGAAACCACTAAATCCAAATATAACTGTCCAAAACACTCTAAAACCAATTAAACGTCCTGATTTTAATGGATAAATGGACAGTTCAACCAAAAATTAAATCTTAGTCACTATTTACTCACCCTCAAGTGGTTCCAAACTTATGAGTTTATTATATTTTTAGTTGAACCCACTATAATAGATTTTAAAAAATGCAAGAAACAGGTAACCATTAACTTAAACAGTGTGAAAAAAATGCAAGAAGTCAATGGTTACCACTAGTTTAAAAAAGAAAGAAAGAAAGTCGAACAGTTTTGTAACAGGGATGAGCAAATGATGAAAGAATGAAAAATGTTTTAATGGCTTGTAATGATATTTGTAGTGAAATTGAACCATTAAAGCCTTTTTTTAGTAGGGCAGTAGTCTTGGAATTGACTATACAGTAATAATGTGTTTCGTCAATTATGGTTAATGTATTTGCATTATTATGTTTAATATGGTGATTCTAAACATCTGATCTAGAGGTAGAAATGCATAATCTAATTTGTTGTGTGTAAATGATTTGGATGTGCATTGTTTGCAGCGTTTCCACATGATCCTGTACTGCCCAAAATAAAAAGCTTGATAACAAATCAGGAACAGATGCTCAGCTGTACAATCTACAACGTTTACCCTTTGGAAAGGTTTCAAATTGAGTGGCTTCTTGGAGATAAGGAGTCTGTGGTGAGCCCTGACACTTACCCTGAAGAACTGTATGATCATGAGCAGAATTATACCTCAGTGTTGAATTACACACATTCTGCTGATAATCTGGGCAAGAATATCACTTGCAAGGCAACGCTAAAATTGCCAAATGGTTTTGAAAAAACTCGTAATTCGACTCTTGAATGTAAGTTTTGGTAACGCTTTCTAAAACCGTTATAACAGGTTTATTCAAGGTTCAGCACAAGTTTATATTTCTTATAGATTTATCATTAAACTTCACTTTCACTTCACATTTAATTGATTTTGATTATCAACAATTATAATACTAATGGTTACAATTAATAAGTTCTCACCTGATCTGGTCATGTCACAATGAAACATTTCAATCAAATTTATTTTATTTTATTTTTTCCCCTTCAATAAAGCAAGGGTTGACCAACCCTGTTCCTGGAGATCCATCGTACTGTAGAGCGGGGGTCACCAACCCTGTTCCTGGAGATCCATCTTACTGTAGAGCAGGGGTCACCAACCCTCTTCCTGGAGATCCATCTTACTGTAGAGCAGGGGTGACCAACCCTGTTCCTGGAGATCTATCCTACTGTAAAGCAGGGGTAACCAATCCTGTTCCTGGAGATCCATCTTACTGTAGAGCAGGGGTCACCAACCCTGTTCCTGGAGATCTATCCTACTGTAAAGCAGGGGTAACCAATCCTGTTCCTGGAGATCCATCTTACTGTAGAGCGGGGGTCACCAACCCTGTTCCTGGAGATCCATCTTACTGTAGAGCAGGGGTCACCAACCCTGTTCCTGGAGATCCATCTTACTGTAGAGCAGGGGTGACCAAACCTGTTCCTGGAGATCCATCTTACTGTAGAGCGGGGGTCACCAACCCTGTTCCTGGAGATCCATCTTACTGTAGAGCAGGGGTCACCAACCCTGTTCCTTGAGAGCCATCTTACTGTAGAGCAGGGGTGACCAACCCTGTTCCTGAAGATCCATCTTACTGTAGAGCAGGGGTGACAATCCCTGTTCCTTTAGATCCATCTTACTGTAGAGCAGGGGTGAACAATCCTGTTCCTGGAGATCCATCTTACTGTAGAGCAGGGGTCACCAATCCTGTTTTTGAAGATCTATCTTACTATAGAGCAGGGGAGCAGGGGTGACCAACCTTGTTCCTGGAGACCCATCTTACTGTAGAGCAGGGGTCACCAACCCTGTTCCTGGACATCCATCTTACTGTAGAGCAGGGGTGACCAACCCTGTTCCTGGAGATCCATCTTACTGTAGACCGGGGGTGAACAATCCTGTTCCTGGAGATATATCTTCCTGTAGAGCAGGGGTCACCAACCCTGTTTTTGAAGATCTATCTTCCTGTAGAGCAGGGGTCACCAACCCTGTTCCTGGGGATCTACCTTCCTGCAGATTTCAGTTGCAACCCATAGCAAACACACCTACCTCTATTTATCAAGTGCTGCTTCAGGTCTTAAATAATTAGTTCAGGTATGTTTGATGAGTTGAAGGTAAACTCTGGAGGAAGGCAGATCTCCAGGAACAGGGTTGAGTACCCCTCATTTAAAGGTTATGTTTCTTGCCCAAAGCTAACAATATCACTTTTAGAGCTTCCAGAAATTGTGACCGGTTGGATTAAATGGATAAAGTAAGATGGTCTTTGAGATAACAATACGCATTATGCCCCAAATGCGTTCGATTGAGTTTTACATGTACTGAACCTGGAATATTCCTGTAGTAAGCTATTGACAAGAATTAAATCACTTTTCATTTGTCCTGAAACTAACAAAAACTTAATGTTTCTTTCTAAGATGGTCCAGGAACTATAACCATTTCCAGTTACAAAGCCTCAGTAAAGCTTGGTGAAAATTTTGAGATAACATGCCATGCAGATGGAAATCCCAAACCCAAAATATCGTGGTGGAAACATGAAGAGGCTGATCCTGAACCTCAGAGCCAAAATGACAAGCTCATTATAAACAATGCTTCCAGGTCGCAGGCAGGTTGGTACCAGTGCAACGCGAGCAATGACCTGGGAAGCCTGCAAAAAAGCATAGAGGTCATTGTTTTAGGTGGGTGAATTAACTTTAAACTGAAATTAAATACATTGTCTATGATCTCCAAGTCCATGATCTTTAACCTTTGTTTAAATGCAGGTCCTCCAAACACCCCCAAAATCCAACTAAGCCACAGTGGAGAGCTAGAAGAAGGAGAAAATATAACCATATTCTGTTCTTCAGACGGCACACTGGCTGAACTGACAATCTCTAGACAGTCCCAGAATGCTGAAACAGGAGGTCACAGCCAATCAGCTGCTCTCTTAAACCTCCCATCAATCCAAATAACAGATGCAGGGACTTACATTTGTGAAGCAAAAAATGACATTGGGATTGAGCGAAGCACAATTGAGATTAGAGTGAAAGGTAAGTTTACATCAACCTGAAGATTTTGACTAGGCGTAGCAACCAATGTGCAGATTCAATAAGATTTTTATTAATATTGTTTTGTGTTGTTGCTAAATCTGACATAGGGTGTACATCTAGTCAAATGTAGACAAAGGGTGCTTTCACATCTGTAGTTGGCTTCATTTGGTCCGGACCAAGGGCAATAAATGATACATTGTTGCATTTTCTGCCGTCTTTGGGTCGTTTTCACACCACACTGCTGGCTTTGGTCCGAACCAGTTGAAACGAACCAAAATGCAGTCATCTGACAAAATCCACATCTCTCATTGGCCAGATGTTGTTGAACATATTTCCTAAACTGCTTATTGCTTGGTCAGAATTCACGTGCGGGAAAATGCCAGTGAACTCCCGCAGGTAAACAAAACCTTTTACTCTGGAGGGACGACTGCACTGGTTGATTGTATCCCTGCTTTAGAGAAACTATACATTATGAAAATGAAGCGGGGCCGCGGCTGGAAAACAGTGTTTAATGCATCGCTCGTCACTTCGGGAGGAGACGTGAATTAATTTAGCTAAACTGCGACATTGTCATCTTGTGTAAATATTACCAACGATCCATCAGGTAATGTTTTCCCCTCTCTCTCTCTGTTGGTAAAGCGCTGTCAACAAATATTTTTCCTTCATATCCCATAATGCACAGCGCACTTCCTACGGCAGCTGAATTAGTCCAAAACGCGCAGTACTTTTTGCGGTTGTACCTGTTTTAGTACGGATCTTATTCTCACCATAAACGAACCGCTCCAGGGTTTGTTTGAAAGTGTACCGAGACCACCTCTTCAAGCACGTCTCGGTACGCTTATTTGGTCCACTTTTGGTGTGCACTTGAGTACGATTGCTGCATTCTCACCTGCCCAAACGAACCGCACCAAAAGGGGAAACGAGCTCTAGTGCGATTCAATCGAACTAAATAAGGCAGGTGTGAAAGCACCCAAAGTTACTGATTATAATGTGTTACATTATTTTTACCCACCAGGCACACAATGTCATAAAACGTTATTATTAGTTTAGCTTTAGGTCGCGATGTCAGGTGACCAAAATTCAATGTCTAGCCAGCGTCCAAGGACAATAATATTTTGACGTCCAATAACAACATCACTTGATATTTGGATGATTTTGGGTTGTGTTGGAAAGGCACCAAAATCTAATGTCGAGCCAACATCTTAAACCAACGTCATATTGATGTTAAATACTGACATTTATAGTCAGGTTTGGCAACCAAAATCCAATGTCTGATAGACATCATAGTGGTAATGTCCACACAACGTTAAGCTGTAACAGCATTAGATGTTGATATTTGGTTGATTTTAGGTTGGACGTTGGACATTGACGTAGGCCTGACATCGCGCAAGGTCCCCACGACATTGAGATACAACGTCTATCTGATGTCATGTTGACTTCCTGTGCCTGATAGGTAGTTATGTTGCTTATAATCATTTAGGCTGAAGGCAATTCACATTTTGGATTTTATACATGCTCAATATTGAAATTTTATAGAAATTTTGACTTTTCTTTGTTTCCTTTTTATCATTATGACTATTATCATAACTTATGTAGTGATGGAGTATTTTAGTGATGTTTTTTTTTTTTTTTTACTTCTAAATAATCTAGCACGACAGAGCATGCCTGACCTAATGCCAGACCTGCCTGTAGCCATAATACCTGCTGTTGGGTCAGTGTCGCTGTTGACAGCTGTTGGGCTCCTGATCCGACACTGCAGAAAGAAAGCCAGGAGCGAATCCTGCAACTTGACAGAACTGAACTAAACAGAAGCATTCATCAGGACATCATCTCATGGACAGGTGAATACAACCCTGGACAGTTTTCTGCGGTTATTGGTTTTCTGTCTTCATTCAATTGTAACAGAGTAAGTGTAGCTTATTTACTGGAAGAAAATTGTCATGCTTATTTACATCAAGAATAATTTGATTTAATTCTATTGAAAGTTTTTAAAGATCACAGTGCTGAACTGCAACCACGGTGAACTCCAAAATACTTGTTCATTGTCATTTTTAATCTTGATATTTTGCTTGTTTGTGAGCAAGAATTCAGATCAGAATAAATTTTGTTTATTTTTGACACTAATCTGTTGTGAATCTGATTATTTAGCCCATATTTTGACATTTTATTTGAAAGGGAGTGAACACTTTCATTTCATGTTTTCAATATGCATTTTATTAGATGTAGATTGCTAATAGACTGAATTATATTCAGACACTTCCGTCCAGTTTAAAAAAATCTGAATCTCACTGCATTACATGTAAATTATGAAATTAATTGGCGTCGTGAAAAGAGTGCTCATGTTATATTTCTTGCCGCTGTATGATTACTCTAAGGACAACATTGTTTTGATGTTTAATAACGATGTCAAATGACGCTGATATTTGGTTGATTTTAGGTTGTGTTGATTTTGAGAGTGACAAAAATCCAATATTGTGTCAAATTGACGTCAAATACTGACATTTATTTGTCAGGTATGGCATCGAACATCTGATAGACGTCAGAGTGGTAACGTCCACACAACGTCAAGCTGTAACATCATTGGATGTTGATTTTAGGTTGGGACGTTGGACTAGAGATCTGCACGCCACTAAATTTTGAATCCCGCTCCCGCCAGGATTTAGCCTGAACCCGACCGCTCCCGCTTATATTTAGCATTTGTTGTCCCACTGCCCGACCCTTCCCGTTTTCTACCCGCCACACCTGTATCCGCTAACAGGGGAGAACAAAACCGAAAACCACTCAGCTATACAGAGTCCAGACAGCCTATAACAAGCTGTATGTACAGACACACACACACATTAGCACCAAGCAAGTGACACACACATATAGGCGTCACGCACTGTCTCTAATTCACACACACAGCACAAAGCTCCCTCTCATTCGCACACACACACACACAGCAACAAACAAGCTAAACGTAGCATCACGCTCTCTCATTCACACACATACATTCGCGTTCTCGCTCGCTCAGGAGCGATATTGTTAGACAGCCTGCTCCCGTCCAAAATTAAACCAGTTACCGACTGTTCCCGCAATTTATTCTGAAATTTATTCCCGCGACGCAGAAATCTGGTCAGATCCCACGGCTGCAGACCTCTACAATGTACATTAACATCGGCCTGATGTTAGGTTCTGAGGTCCACCCCATTTTTATTTCCAAACAAAATACAACGTCCACACAATATTGGGGTACAACGTCAATCTGATGTCATGTTGACGTCTTATGCCTGCTTGGTGTTTGGTCATTATAAAGTAAACATCCGCCATCTTTTTATCAGTGACATGCAACTAAACCAGAGGTGTCAAACGTACGGCCCGAGATGATTCTGTAAAGTATAAAAATTAACAAGTATTCCATAAATGAAACTGCTGTTCTTATTATGTCCACTGGATGACGCAATTGCAAACTGTTGCAAAATTTCAGCCAATCAAGAAGCTTGAATCAGCAACAGTGTGACAGCCTTATCAACATTTTTTATTAACTATTTTATGATTTGTCGGTTTACTGGATAATTCGTACGAGTTCCGTGAAAATGTACAATATGTAAAAGGAGGAGTGGCACCCAGCCACACCATTAAACCCAACTGTCACTGGTGGATAAGCAAATCTTACAAAAACATACGAATATGAATATATGAATTGGCCTCTAATTCAGATAGATATGAATTGTCATAAGATCGTGTTTTCCTCAGGCTCCAGCTTTATGATTTATGTTGATCGAATTAAAACAAAGAAAACAATCTGAAGTTGTTGTTTTTAAGTTTATATATTATAATTTTACCGGTCCGGCCCAGTTGGGAATAGATTTTCCTTCATGTGAGCTAAAATGAATTTGACACCCCTGATCTAAACAGTCTCTGGGTCAATGCGTGTAAAGATTTTGGACATCTTTTGGACACTTTTAGGCCTTCCAAACAGTTTGCTGCAATTATAAATCACCCATGTCTTGAGGTAGTTCATTATGATGCAATTTACCTTCTATGTGCAATTTGATTGGACAGCAATTACAGGATGTGACAGGAATCAGATTTTTCTAATCCCCAAAGAATATAGAATAAAGTAGTGACTGCAGGTTGAATGAGAGTAGTGGAGTAAAAGTACCAATACCGCACTATAAATGAACTCAAGGGAAAGTAAAAGTACACATATTTAAAACTACTTAGGGAATTATTATTTCTGAGAAAAATTAGTCAATTACAGTAATTTAAGTATTTGTAATTTGTTAATTTACACCACTGTGTGTGCGCGTGCGTGTGTGTGTGTGTGTGTGTGTGTGTACACAGGTTTATACAGTTGAAGTCAGAATTATTAGCCCCCCTGAATTATTAGACCGCTTGTTTATTTTTTCCCCAATTTCTGTTTAACGGAGAGCAGATTTTTTCAGCACATTTCTAAACATAATAGTTTTAATAACTCATTTCTAATAACTGATTTATTTTATCTTTGTCATGATGACAGTAAATAATATTTGACTAGATATTTGTAAAGACACTTCTATACAGCTTAAAGTGACATTTAAAGGCTTAACTAGATTAATTAGGTTATCTAGGCAGGTTAGGGTAGTTAGGCAAGTTATTGTATAATAATGGTTTATTCTGTAGATTATTGAGAAAAACTACAGCTTAAAGGGGCTAATAATTTTGTCCCTAAAATGGTGTTTAAAAAATTAAAAACTGCTTTTATATTAGCCGAAACAAAACAAGTAAGACCTTCTCTAGGAGGAAAAATATTATCAGACATACTGTGAAAATTTCCTTGCTCTGTTAAACATCATTTGGAAAATATTTTAAAAAGAAAAAAAATCGAAGGTGGCTAATAATTCTGACTTCAACTGTATGTATGCGTATATAAACTGGTGTGTCAACGTATATAAAGTTTTTCCTGAATTAACAACGTGGACAAAAGAAATTGGAAGGATATAACGGTCTCCTCTTTGTTCCAATGGACATGTCTTAATAGAACATTGGTCCTCATCATCACATTTATATTGTGTAGTAGGATCCCAAACAATCTACAATCAAAGTTAAAATCTTGGCACGAATTAAAGGAAATGCCTTTCCCGACTTTCCCTTCCCATCAAAAACAAAGGAAGTTTGAATGTGGGATTTGTGTGACTTCTCATTGTTGCCGTTATCGGTCTTCCACGCGTTTGTCACATTTAGCCCAGGAAGTCCCACTCTTGATCTAACATTCAGGTGTTGAAATAGACTGCTGCTTATTAAGTACTCTCAGGGGTTTTAAAATTCTTGAGTAATTACACATCAGTTTTGTAAGATTTTTTTTTACTTAATGTAGCTTAACTGAATACAAACCAGTCGGTATCTGGTGGACCACTATTTGCCTCACGCAGTTGCAACTCATCTCCATCTCACAGAGTTGATCAGGTTGTTGATTGTGGCCTGTGGAATGTTTCAGTCCTTTTCAATGGCTGTGCGAAGTTGCTGGATATTGGCTGAAACTGGAACACGCTGCCATATACGCCAGTTATTCCAGTCGCAACCCAGTACTGGAAAACACCCACTCTCACATTCACACACACACACACACACTCATACACTACCGCCAAATTAGCTTACCCAATTTCCCTATAGCGCATGAGTTTGGGTTGTGGAGGAAACCCATGCCAACATGGGGAGAACATGCAAACTCCACACAGAAAAGCCAAATGGCACAACCAGGACTCGAACCAGTGACCTTCTTGCTGTGAGGTGACAGTGTTAACCAACGAGCTACAATGCCGCCCCATTCAAAATCAAAACCTGTCAAAGTAGAAAATTTGTTCTTTTAACTTTCACTGCTGAATACTGAGACCAACTCTCTAACAAATGACAAATTCAATGAAATCAAAGGTCTGTTCATTTAATGTGTTAATGTATAAATATATCGCAAGTTAAAATAAAGCCCATATTCTGAAACGGTATGGATAGAAATGAACAGAAGTTCCAGTATGACTGTATTATGATATCTGTTGTTTTGTCTGTACGCTGACAGATCTCTAACACTCTTAACGGTTTGAGGAAATCTCTTCCTGATGACATCGAGCATGTTGATGGCTGTTATTGCTTTGTTTTGAAGCCAGTTTTAAGCCTTGTTGATGTAGACATCAAAAATACTTGCTTGAGTCTACACAACATTTCTGGATGGAATCATATATTATATATTGGTGTTTTTGGTTCATCGGGTATAGAGACCTAATTTTACAATCCTTGTTGTTCTATGATTTTGAGTATGGCGTAGGGCTGGGCGATTTTTCAGATTTTTTCAATTAATTCGAATTTACGTTTTAAGACAATTTAATTTTGAATCAAATCGAGAAATCGCGATTTTTAAAAATATATATATTTAATACATAATAATGGCACCAATGCGCTTTGGTTCATTCTATGAAGCAGGAAGCACACCAGAAGCGCGTCTCGGCTATGCGCCGCGCAGCGCCATGGATTTTAGAATTCTAAACAGGTTTCTATGAACACACCAGCGCCGCCCAGCCACGATTCAGGAGGCAGGTCATATTTCAGCCGCGGCACAGAGCGCCATCTGATTAGTTTCATGTTAAATATCATGCGAATGTTGGTGCGTTTGGTGTGTGATAGTTTAAACTGTCATGTGCTCGCCTTGTCGCGGCGCTTCTGGTGTAAGATCTGCTTGACTGCCTGTTAAAGCATAAAGTCATGTAGGATTTTACTTGTTGCATTAGTCTGAGTCACGTCTATGTGGATTGTCAAGACATTCCCTCATCAAGTCGATAAACTCCATCTCAACATGGGACGTATGAAGGACGTAAAAACCTGCCATGAAAAACACAGCGCAGCTTTAAAACCTGTCATTTAATCAGAAGACAAAGCCAAAGCCGAGCTGACAGCCAATCTTTTCTAGGCTCAGCAAAACTTGCAGAAAATACCTCTGTATTCCTGCAACTGCAATATTTACACAAATATTTCTCATTCAAATCTTCAGCAACGCTATTTAACTCGTGAATTTGTTTTACATTCATTTACACCTTGGTTAATTTATGTATGACATGGCCATTAAAAATACAATGTTCCTTAAAGGGTCACGAAACACCAAAACACAATTTTTGAGCTGTTGACAGTCGTATATGTGTCCCACACTGCTATAAACACTATTAGGACACCTATAACTTACAACAATAACTTACGTGACCAAGGAGGATTATTGTTTACCTGAGAGCTGTTCTCATCTGCAAACGCTGAGATCCAGATTCGCTTAAGTCTCCTCTAAATAAAGACGCGGCTCTAGTTGCTGGTGATTGTCCTGTCTCTACAGATTTGGTAAGTGAGCGACCAGTGCTCTTTGTTTATTCAGTTCGTATTTTATTCGTATCAAACAAACTATTGCAACGAGTGTAAACAAGTTAGCACTAACAGTTACAACCAAACTATAACCTCGTGTTGGATTTTGTGACCGGAATAACACACGCGGCTTTCTGACGTTACCTGCCGTGTGCATCTAAGTTTCCGGGAAATGCTGAGTTTTTTTTTCTCTCATTCGCTGTGCGGTATCAATCATTGCATGAAAAATACACGCTTAGAGCAGTTCCTTGAATCAAATATCACGTTTGTCGGGAGGGACATGAATGAATTCCCTGAATGAAAGAGCCAAACTGCAGTTAAAGTCCAACATTTAATAATCTGGCAAATAATTCGACTACAGATGTCCATGTAAACACAGTCACATTGTACACTGTGGTTTTGTGTTTTGACTCTGAAACTCGCGCGTGCCCAAATAGACACTCCCCCACCAAGCCTCTTTTCTTCCTCCTACACTCCCCCCTAAACAGAGCTGGACACGCCCACTTTTCTGACTTTTTCCAAAGTAGAGGTGTGAAAACACCCTGCTGAAACGAGGGGGTTTCATGGCCCTTTAAGCAGATGGTTTTTCAAGTTACTTTTAAAGAGAATGTTACTTCAGTCATGTTGTAATGTTTTGAGAAGACTAGTAACACAATAAAAAAAATAAAATAAAAATCGAAATCGTGAATCGGTCAAACTTTATAAAAAAACCTAGATTTTATGTTTTTGCCAAATCGCCCTGCCCACTACGGTGTTATTTATAAGTGCTTTTATTATTTTGTAAATCAATGTCAGGTACTAAAACTAAAATTTCTTTACGTTTTGAACAATGAACGCTGTCAAAAATGCAGGGTTTCACTAGAGCTGCACGATTAATCGCTAAAACATCGCAATCTCGATTCGACCCCCTAGACCAGGGGTCACCAATCTTGATCATGGAGGGCCGGTGTCCATGCAGGGTTTAGCTCCAACTTGCCTCAACACACCTGCGTGGATGTTTCAAGTATCCCAACAAAAATAGATAAAAGTTGACGTTACAAATTCAGGTGGATTGGACATAAACCAATGCCCCCCACACCCATCCACCTCTAGTAGCACTAACATTTGAACTAGAAGCAAAAAACATTTGTGTTTGAGTGAAGATGACATTGTTTCTGAAAAACTGTCCACTAATTTTGGTTTAATAAACAACAACTAAAGGCTTAAGAAAACTCATGTGTTGGTTGCTACATTGAAAAAATGCTGGGTTCCACACATTTCATTTGTGTCGAGACAACATGAAGGAATTAAAGTTAACTTACTCTCCCCTCAATAACTTTAAATAAATATTTTTATTCCATTCAAAGCGAATGATTCCTCCTGAGTTTTCAACCAATGGAGAAGAATAACACAGACTGCTTTACTGTGTTGTTTTCCGTTTCTGTTCGTGTAATCAGTGCAAGCTAATTCATCAAACAGTTTTACTGTGTAATCTCTTGTGTTACTAAAAACTTTCAACAAACATTATAGAAGTTATGTTGATATTTCTTTCACTTTGATCCATGTTTTTACTGAGGAGATGAAACGATTTGTGCTCAGGAAGTATACCTTGGCACGGAAAGTATATTGTTGCATTATCGGCACAGAAAATCTTCTTTAATGAGTTTTTCAAATGTAGCCACTGTCAAAAAAAGATTTTATCTGGTTTCTGTTTAGCGTACACTCAAATCACATTCATTACTTTAAAGAAATGGTGAAAATCAGCTTTTGTAAGCTGTTTGGACAGAACTGTGTGTGGGTATAGTGTGTCCACAGTCATATTGGAGTGCTAGAAACACAATAAGTCTCGTTTTTTTAATTTCCTGACGTTAAAATAGGATTCAAATACCTTCCATTTTAAATGCGGTTTCCCCACCCACCAAATTGATTGACAGCTGTGTATTAATATGTCTCTGTAGTAACACGTATAAAGCTGCGGCCACACTGGGCTTTTCCTCCTATAGACTTCCATTCATACGCACGCGAATGCATCAGACCGGAAACGCAGAGTCATGCGTCAAGTTTCGCAGGTTGCTGTGGTGCAAAGTTCAAGCTTGGTGAACTCTGACCTGCGAAATCGCATCACTTGACTGCATGAGACCAACCGAGGATCAAAACATGACCTCTCTGGACAGAAATTTACAACATTGAGCAATCGCTCGCTTTTTTAAATGTCTAATAAGCTTGTTTAATCCCGCCCCTTTTCACAGCGCCGCATGACAGAATATCGAACACACAAACTCTAGTGTGACCGCAGCTTAATCATCAACAAGACAGGGCGTGCACAAAGCAACTAAGATTAAAAGATCTGTTCAGCGCTCTGTGATCATCAATCATCATCAAATGTGATCAAAAATGAGTTTTACAAGTTTAAAACGGTTTTAAAACGGTGCATGTTTGTAATGGATTACAGTGGTTTTACCGTCTTTATCGCGTGTTAGTACAATTATAAAAAGTAGCTTCAATCCCGGTTTGTGGACGTTAAACCAGGTATATTTGTACATTAACAAAACGGATGTCCTTAGAGCAGTGGATATTAACGTGTATCCTGTCACATTTGCCATGCAAAAACGTGTGTCTGTGTGAATACGAGAACTTTGTAATGACATTGTGTGTGCCTCATAGTTGCAACTCCTCAACAAACACATCAAATAATAATAACAACAACAATTGGAAAGTTCTTACTGTAGTATTTCTCACAAACGTTACGCAAGATCTGCTTCCTTTATGTCTGTCACTGTGCTGTTTATCCAATGTATGCAGCCAGAGATTGAGGCACACTCTGACAGGCTCGAGGGAATGGTAGGCGGGGAGAGCTAGCATTAAGGGTGCTTTCACATCTGTAGTTGGCTTCATTTGGTCCGCACCAAGGGTAATAAATGATACATTGTTGCATCTTCTGCCGTCTTTGGGTCGTTTTCACACCACACTGCTGGCTTGTGTCCGAACCAGTTGAAACGAACCAAAATGCAGTCATCTGACAAAATCCACATCTCTCATTGGCCAGATGTTGTTGAACATATTTCATAAACTGCTTATTGATTGGTCGGAATTCACGTGCGGGAAAATGCCAATGAACTCCCGCAGGTAAACAAAACTGGCAGACATAAATTGTCGCTTTTTACTATGGAGGGACGACTGCGCTGACTGATTGTATCCCTGCTTTAGACAAACTATACATTTCGAGAATGAAGCACGGCTGCGGCTGGAAAACAGTGTTTAATGCATCGCTCGTCACTTCAGCAGGAGACGTGAATTAATTTAGCTAAACTGCGACATGCTCATCTTGCGGAAATATTACCAACGATCCATCAGGTAATGTTTTCCCCTCTCTCTCTGGTAAAGCGCTGTCAACAAATATTTTTCCTCCACATCCCATAATGCACAGCGCATCAGCCTACGGCAGATGAATTAGACTAAAAGGCGCAGTACTTTTGGACCTGTTTTAGTTCGGATCATATTCTCACCACAATCGAACCGCTCCACGGTTCGTTTGAAAGCGTACCGAGACCACCTCTTCAAGCACGTCTCGGTACGCTTATTTAGTCCGCTTTTGGTGCGCACTCGAGTACGATTGCTGCATTCTCACCTGCCCAAACGAACCGCACCAAAAGGGAAAACAAACTCTAGTGCGATTCAATCGAACTAAATAAGGCAGGTGTGAAAGCACCCAAAGACACAGACAAAAAATACAGCTACAGTGTGTTCAGAGCAGAAAATCCTAATGTTCTGCATGCTATGATAAATAATCTGATGGGTGTTTCAAGCAGAAACTTTAGACACATCCTGGAGACACAAAAGACTTCTCTTAAATCTTGAAAAAGAGACAAAATGGGTGACCTTTAAGTACATTTTTGGTAATGCGTAATTAACTTAAAGTGATTGGTTGAACTTCTGTTCATAGGTTATTATTACAATAAAAAAAATCCCCAAATTTGCTTAGAAAGCAGTCAGGATCCCAATATAATCAAAGAAAACAATGGTCACTTTTTTCTTAGAGTGAAACGGAATGAAATTCTGGATCTTAAAAGCAAAATCTTCATAATAAAATGAAAAACAAACAACAAAAATAATTTATTGTCACAAAAAACTTATGCTGACATTTTATTTATAATTTGCAAGTTAATATCAAGTAAACATTTAAAAAAATGTTGAAATGCTTCATAGTTATCTGTGAAATACAAAAAAAAAATCTACATTACACTTGTTATTTATTGGCACTAATAAAAATGCTGTTATTGAAAATGCTATTAATAAATTATTTTATTTACTCTCAATATTACTATTATTATTGTTAATATTTATAAAGAATGTGTTTGGTTTTGGATTTCCGTCAAAGGAATATATATACATAAAAAATCATATCTGTAACCCATAAATTCTGATTGTATGTAAAACCATCAATTCCTGAGAATGTAGAAATGCTTTTGTTCCAGAATAGCTCCATTTTTGGTGAGATGTACACATTTTGAGATCGCACTTGTTCAAAGAACTTGAAAAAAAGAAACGGTACCTGCTTCTCAAATATGCCGACATCACATCCTGCTCTTGTGATTAGCATAGCTTGGGAAGCCCAACTGAGTGATCATGATGTTGGAGTATCGGAGCGGCATGTGTCCGTAGATCTGTGCGAGTTTGTTGAGGCAGTAGGAGCGCTGCAGCATGTGCTCCGGTCGATGCCACATGCCAACAAACCCGCTACTAGCGTCCTTCTCTAGATTACTCATATGCACTGGCTTCACAAACACCCCGGAGGGCCGCTTTGAAAGTTGACGGGCCACGATAAAGTTCATGGCGATGTCGTCACAGTTCTGCGTTCGGTCCAGCAGGGTGTGCACTTCAGCAGGCTGCTCCTGGAACTGCTTCAGGAAGCGGCGATGAAAGAACGAAGCTCCCACCAGGATCATTGAATACCTGGAGGAAAGCAAGGTTAGTATAGTTTATAAACTAAAACACTGTGCAATTTAGTATTGGAGGTTTCATGGCTAAACTTGACCAGCCTGGTGGCCAATCTTCATTGACTGCTTGATTCACCAGTAAGGGCAGAGTGTGAAGGTTTACTTAGCAGAGTATTAGCTAGGGGTGTCGATCGAAATTTATGCTCAATTTCGATTATCAAATCAAATAATAGAATCGTCGATGCTGCCATGCCCCCATGTCACGTCAGCTTGGCTTGCCAAGCGGGAAATAACAGGCTTGTTGAAGTGCTTGTTAAACTGCAGAAGCAGGAGACCCGTCGACAGAACTTAAACCCTCTCCTCTTTCAATGAAGTCGCCGGTGTGTAAGCATTTTGGATTTCCAGTGAGTTATGTTGACAACGTTCGTGCTGTCGACAAAAAAAAAAAAAAAAAACAGTTTTGCAAGCTCTGCTATGTACGTATTACGTACGGTTCGTCCGATAGACAACACCGGCATCGCGATCCTCCGCCCGCCCCCGTTGCAAATCCGCTCGCGAAAAGTACACACTCAGGCCCTGTTTACACTGTCTTTGTTTTTAAATGGCATTTTAGAACGAAAACGATTTGACATACACAGTGGCGTGTAGCATTTCTGAGCAGCCCTCCTTCCTCTCTACCTCTGAAAATGCACATCACGTGACCACACAGACACAGACGCACTCACAGCCATGCACTCGAGACAGCAGGTCCAGGCAGTCAGAGGACTGCTTCAATCTTTCACTCACTTGTACTTTGTATTTCAGCGAACACCTCAGATACTGTTGGCTGGTTCCTGTTGGTTGTGCGTCTTTTTTGCCGACGCCATTATAACGACACAGATCACTGCCTATTCACGAGTCCCGCAGAAAAAGTGAATGACAGGTGGTAATTATGTGTGTATCTTGCCTTTATTCATTTACTGTATGATTTGTTTATGGCTAAAACAAAGACCATGCAGGTCAGGTAGTTTAAACGGTAGGCTACAAATAATTAATTGGTCATTAATTAATTAATTATTCATAATCGAAAATCGAATCGTGCCTTTAGAATCGAAAATGTAATCGAATCGAGGATTCGGAGAATCGTGACACCCTTAGTATTAGCACAGTTTTGCTTAAAATATTACATCATGGGTGACATGTCAAAGTTCAAAAGAGGACAATTGTTGTCTCGCTGGTGCATCTGTGACCAAGACAGCAAGTCTTTGTCATGTATAAAAAGCCACGGTATCAAGGGTAATGTCAGGACACCACCAAGAGGAAGAACCACATCCAACAGAAGCAACCGTGGACGCAAGAGGAAGCTGTCTGAAAGGGATTGTATCTAAAAAAAAAACATTAAACCTCAGCTGCCCAGTTCACTGCAGAATTAAATGTGCAGCTCAACTCTCCTATTTCCACCAAAACTGTTGATCAAGAGCTCCAAAGGGGCAATATACAAAGCCGGGCTGCTCTAGTCAAACCTTTGGTCACTTATGCCAATGCCAAACGTTGGCTTCAATGGTGCCAGCAGTGAACATCTTAGGCTGTGGACAATGTGAAAACATGTATTGTTCTCTGATTAGTCCACCTTCACCGTCCTTCACTCATCTGGGAGAGTTATGGTGTGGAAAAGCCCCAAATAAGAGTACAACTCAGATTGTGGCATGCCCAGAGTGAAGCATTGGGGTGGATCAGTGATGGTTTGGGCTGCAATATCATGACATTCCCCGAGCCCAATACTTGAGCTAGATGGGTGCATCACTGCCAAGGACTACCGAGCCATTCTGGAGGACCATGTGCACATAATGGTTTAAACACTATTCTGAAGTCAGACCTGTGTATCAGGACGATAATGCACCAATACACAGTTTCATTGTTCAACCCCTGTATATGTACATATATTTATACATAAACAAGTTTCAGTATGGAATTTTATGTTTCAATTGATTTTTAAAATAGATATTAATATATTCAACAATGTTTCACATATACACCTTTTATTGGATATTTTCTCACTTTCTGACCATTCTCTGTAAGGCCTAGAGATAGTTATGCATGAAAAACCCAGTAGATCAGCAGTTTCTGAAATACTCAGAGCAGCCCGCCTGGCACAAACAACCATGCCACATATTCAAAGTCATTTAAATCACCTTCCCCATTCTGATGCTCGCTTTGAACTGCAGCAATCATCTTGACCATGTCTATTTGTCTTGACCATGAGTTGCTGCCATGTGATTGGCTGATTAGAAATTTGCGTTAACAAGCAGTTGGACAGGTGTACCTAATAATGTGGCTGGCGAGTGTATGAGAATATAGTGTGCTTCTGTATAGGAGGAGATTTAAAAATTAAACATCTCGGTGACGGAAGGAAAAACAAAAGGCAAAGTGTAGAAAAAAAACAGACAATTGTCAATCTTGCATAGTTGGAACCAGGAACATGCAGATTCTTGTGGTAAAGTCTAGATCGAATAGGCGGCCGGCCGGACATGCAATATGCACATCAATTAAAGTAGCCAATTAATGACACTGTATGACAATCATTAATATTTTTACAGTACTGTGACGGTTGGGTTTAGGGTTGGGGTAGGTGTTAATAAAATACAAAAAATGAGAAATTTAATAAATAATTCTTGTTAACTTCGGACTGCAACCATATCTGATCTAGCAACAACCCTTTCTTGTTGACTTTGCATTATATGTAAATGCTGCATTAGTCAGATTCTAACCTGTCTCCTCCACCTTTGTCAGGATCCTGAAGCTCAAAGCTGCCATAGCTGTAAACACCAGATGCAGAGCTTACATGCTTCCGTGGAACAAATCCCACAATCTGATCTGGGAATTGCTAAAACACACACAAAAAAAATAAATAAGTAAATAAAAACAGGATTATTTGTCTGTGAAAAGAAGGCTGCATGATACTGGGAATATATGTGATTATATTGATGTAGGAATATACCTTCCAGACAGAAAATGCGAAGCTGATATCAGGAACACTCAGCAATATGTCATCGTCCAGCATCAAAACAGCTGTTTAGGTGAGAGAGAGAGTAGGTCAGTATTCAGTAAAACACAGCGATAAAGTTATATAGCAAAATCAAACAAAAATAATACTTCTGTCATCATTTACTCTCTGACTAACTTGGGGGACCTATTTTGCAAAAATAAATAAATTTACAAAAATGTAAAAACTGTACAATACGTTATCACACCATGCTATAATATACAAACCATAACTTATTCTACAATGAGTATGCATTTCATTTCAGAATTATAACAATTATTTCAAATATTTATAATAAATAGAGAGAGATATAGAGGGATGGATGGATGGGTAAATAAACAGATGAAATGATGGATGGATGGATGGATGGATGGATGGATGGATAAATAAAAAGATGAAAGGATGGATAGATGGATGGATGGAATAAAAAAGAGAGATGGATAATTGGATGAAATAATAGATATGGATGGATGGATAGATGGATGGAAGGAAGGACAGACAGATTAAATGATGGATGGATGAGTAATAAATAGAAATAGAGATATAAAAGGTCGGATGGATAGATGGAATAATATATAGAGATATGGAAAGAAGGATGAAATAATAAATAGAGATATAGAGGTATGGATGAATGGATGAGTAAATGAACAAATGGATGGATGGATTGAATAATAGATATAGATGGGTGGAAGGATGAAATAAAGAGATATGGATGGATGATAGATGAAATGATAAAAAGAGATATGGATTGATAGATTGATGGATGGATGGATGGATGGATGGATGGATGGAGGAAAGGATAGACAGATAAAATGATGGATGGATGGATTTAGAGAGAGAGAGAGATTTAATTTTATTGCCATTTCAGCTTCTATGGCTATATCATGGCAAAAAGAAAATAGATCAAGTAAAAATATTCTAACAATTAAAAGTCATCAACAGCAATAAATAATGTACAAGGTAAAATATATAAATAATAATAATAATGATAATATATAAGATAAAAATCTAAAACAGTTTTTTAAGATTTCCTTTTGATAAAAATTCTATAACTTTAGATGGATTCACGTTTAAAAATATTTCCTTTAAAGTCTCTCCAGATAAATATTGTTTTCTGATAACATTAAAAATGGGGCATTCCACAAGAATATGTTTAACTTGGATGGATTTATGAATGGATGAATAATAAATAGAGATAGAGATATAATGGGACGGAAGGATAGATGAAATAATAAATAGATGGAAGGATAGATAGACATGTGAAATGATGGATGGAATAATAAATAGATGGAGGGATGGATGGAAAAAGGGGTAGACAGACAGGTGAAATGATGGATGGATGGAATAATAAATAGATGGGAGGGATGGATGGAAGAAAGGATAGATAAGACAGGTAAATTGATGGATGAATGGAATAATAAATAGATGGAGGGATGGGTGGAAGAAAGAATAGATAGACAGGTGAAATGATGTATGGAAGGATGAAATGATAATAGAGAGATGGATGGAAGGATGAAATAAATAGATATAGAGAGATGAAGGACAAACAAATGAAATGATGGATGGATGGACAGGTGAAATGATGGATGGATGAAATGATAAATAAATGGATGGATGGAAGAAAGGATAGATAGACAGGTGAAATGATGGATGGATGGAATAATAAATAGATGGAGGGATGGATGGAAGAAAGGATAGATAGACAGGTGAAATGATGGACGGAAGGAAGAAATGCTAAGTAGAGATATAGAGGGATGGATGGAAGGATGAAATAAACAGATATAGAGAGATGGATGGACAGACAGACGAAATTATAGATGGAGGGATGGATGGAAGGAAGGATAGATAGACAGGTAAAATGATGGATGGATGGATGAAATAAATGGATGGATGGATGGATGGATGAAATAAATAGATGGAAGGATGGATGGATGGATGAATGAATGAATGGATAAATGGAAGGGAAGATAGACAAATAAAATGATGGATGGATGGATGGATGAAATAATAAACAGAGATATAGAGGGATGTATTTCTGGAAGGATGGAGAGACAGATGACATCATGGATTGATGGATGAATGGATGAATTAAATAATAAACAGAGATATGGATGGATTGATGGATTGATGATGGATGAATGAATGGATGGATGAAATAATAAACAGAGACAGAGATATGGATGGGTGAGATATTGTGGTCACTTTTATGTCTTAAATGACAAAATCAATGCTGCTGTACCCAATCGTCCCGTACCTACCATCAGTCTTGACATCGGGGTGCATCATCAGTCGGTTGCGCATTCTGTTGACTCTCTGCTCCCTGAAGAGGACGGGCACAGGATGAGGGCCAAGCTCGTCCCACAGCCTCCTGGGTGGCGTTTCTCCTGGGTTGTTCCACACTATAATGATGCACTGCAGGTGAGGAACTGCCTGGTAATGGTTGAGGAGCCTCAGGAGAACATCGGTGCGGTTGTAGGTCTGCATAATTATAGTAAAGCTCTCCTCTGGGTCCGCCAGGGTTCGTGAGGTGTTGGAGCTTCGTCGGAGCTCTCGGAGAATATTGATGTCTTCATTGTTGGGCAGTAAAAAGGTCAGAGAGACTCCAGCCAGAAGCAGCAGCAGGATAAACCCGATGACGACGTGTGTTCGCACGCGGCCCAATGACCTGCAACAGCACAAGTGAACCCTGATGGCGACAAGAGGATTAAACAAATGCTTCACTCAACTTCATTGTGCTGCAAACCTTTATTTGGTGGAACACAAAGAGCAAATTGAAATCATTTGTCTATAAGAAATAATGTTTGTAGCTTTTACAAAGACTAATTGAAGAGTTCAGATGCAAAACCCTCTAAATCCATCAGACCTCTTTTCTTGTAAATGAGCATTTTCTATAAGCTATGAGCTATAATCTGGTGAACATCGCAATATATAATAGCAGAAAAACTAAATATAGCATTGCCTTTTTAAACCATCTCAAATTATCTATCATATATTCAGTACATCCCATTTTATAAATGCTGTTCTTTTAAACTTCTGGTTTATTAAAGAACCTAAACAAAACTTCTTTGCACGAACAAAATTGATATAGATAAAATGAAGATACTTGAAAACATCCTTATGACTAGGGATGCGATGATTAACCAGCTTCACTATTAACCACGATTTAATTCGTCACAGTTAATTAATCGTGAAGGCTTCTCAACACCGCGTTTCTGCACGAAACAAAACTGCAGCAACTAAACAAAGTTATGCCAGCTGTGCACTAGTTTGTACACCAAGACTAATAACTGCACACATTGGACTGACTATGACTGGGGCTATTAACTAAGGCACGCTCGTGCAAGTTCGTTATTTCCAATGGAGGGATGCGCACACGACGCAACACGCTCACAATTTTCAGGCGCACCTATTTGAGATGATAGGGCTTTTGTGACCACGGGAATTGCAAACGGCTAAAGTTTGAGGAAGAAGCAATGGAAAGTATACAGATTTGCAAACTCACTTAAAGTTACAAATAATGGCGCCGAATGCCAGACGAGATCAACCGAGTGTTTTCGGAGAGAGTGCTGTAAGACTCGAACCTGTTTCACACCGCAAGCGTGAGCAGAGCGTGTGTTTTTATTGGCGTCCATGTTAACAGATTTCATACTGCACGCAGAAGCAGTGCGTCAGCATGAGGCGTGAGCGTCGTTGAAGCAGCAGTGGGGTGATAGTTTCGCCGCTGGGTCTATTTTTGCTGGTGCATTGATAATGACCAAAAACACATTGAATGAGCAATTTTACCCAAAATGCATCAATGATATCCACTGATTTTTATATATTCAATTAAATGAACTTGAACGATTAGAACGGCAACAAAAATTTAGTTGGGCTCGAACTACAAAATGAAATTTAAAACAATTTTAAACTAGTGAGGTTTTGAAATCAATGAATGCAAATAATCGAGATAACTGTGAAACCGTGATTTTTTTCTCAGACTATAATCGTACAACCAACATTTATAATCACTGCATCCCTACTTTTAAATAAATCACGCCTTAAAATATTTTCAAACAGGTATTTCAGATTGTAAAGACTTTTCACAACTTTGATGTTCTTCTGTTTTTTTTTTCTGCTGATTTATGCATAGTTTTAGAATATAAGATCTCTTTCTCTATAAATGCATAACTCCAAACGTACATGTTCCATAGAGCAAATTTACTGTCATTTCAGCTAAACATGTTTATACTTTCTCTACTTTAAAAAAAAGTTTTATTCTGAAAGTTTCTGATGCATTAATAGTTGTTTAATGACTCAATCAAAACTATAAATAGAGCAAATGCAAGGCACAGGGAATGATTGTGATTCCATTATAACTAAGATGCCTTTCTTCTAACTGCCACCACAACTTTTTTGTGTGACTGTTAGCTTTAGATTGCTCTTTGTAAGAAAAAAAAAACATTGTCAAAAAGGCTGGAAAACACTGCATGTGTCGAGTTAACGCGCGTAGTTTTGCAAATGACGTCGTCAGATCTATGGACTTAAATATGACTACAATAATTTTTTCAAACAGGACAAATCAACTTGTACCTCATGGTATTCCCATCATACGAAACTCCAGTCCAGAAGGAAGTTTACTTGCTCCCACGCATGCGCAATAAATTCTTAGGTGGACAGCTGTTTGAATCTATTCCCTGAGTCGACTCATTCCAATGAACCGACTCAACGCCCGTAAGTCATTCCATTTAATGGTCGAGGGTAGAGAGGAATGTTGGTGGTAAACTTTGCTCTTTATAATAAAATGTGTAAGCGATGAAAGCGTTACACTACATTAATATTCACTAAATAACAGACATGTTTAGCTAACGATTTGAATCCTAATGTGATTTGCATCTACAAAAATAATTCAGCTCTCGTACGCCATATGAGAAACTGGACTTGTCGGTTCACTGACTCGAGGAGTCAATCCTGTCCAAATGATTCCTTTAAACATTGGTTCAGTAGGTTTTGCTTTTAGAAACGCGTTCAGTTTGTTCAATCAAAATATTCGTCTAAAAGCGATTTATTAAATTCAAGTGATAGATTTAATGCAGATTTCGTGCTTTATGGTTTGTATATCCTCATATCGTTGAAAAACATTGTGCCTGCTATTGAATGTTCGTTCCTGCAGAGAGCGCTAGTGAGTTGCATAACTGATATGGTTTTGTTAGAACTCAGCCGGCGAGCTGCAGAGTAAAATATGGTGACAAAACCCACTAGCTGCACTGCGCTGTCCTGTCCAGCGGTACCACTACACAATGGACTGAACATTCCCATTCTGGGTTTGGGTGAGAACAAACTTATGTGTGGAATATGCATGTAAGTTAGCCATAACGTTAGAGCTATGATGTTTATACTGCTTCTTACTGAACACAGGCACGAATAGAGCTATTCTAGTTACGTTGTACTTTCTGCTTGCTGCTATTTGTATGGCTCAGAAACAATATGATAATACAATATAATAAACAATACAATATAATAAACAATATAATAATAAGTCGACTTAAACACGCTGTTTGATTGACTCGCGAGTCTTTTACAGGCTTTTGTCACATGCTTTGACAACGTTAGTGTTTGGTAACATTCCGATGGCTGTGTATGGCAAGCCCAGTTAACATTTATTTATTTATTTATTTTTTTTTTACTGTAAAGAACGTACAGAAAAATAAATAAATGCCAGGGGGTAGTACAGTCAGGTGTGAAAATAATAGTTACAGAGTAACAAATATCTTGTGAACTTTACACAATGAAATAGTTTTATGAGGTTTAGGATTGTGTGAAATAATAAGAGTGTCCGAGTAAGATTTAAGGTCCTTGCAGAAAACAGGGAAGTACGGCTTGACATCTTGAAACTTACATTTATGTAAGTAGAATTTAGCAAGCAAAATAAATAAATTAATCAAATAATATTTGTCTTTGTCTTCTTTAGGAAAGTTATGACATCCAAATAAAATATCCTTATACAACAAAGATAAACTTTGAGAGGAAAAGGTGTGTACAAAAAAACAGAAATCCTTCCAAAATAAATTAGCATAAGTACACTCCCAAAACATATGGGACACAGATTCATCTTCAGTGCCACAGAAGGAACATGAAGTATCAATATTTGGATACATCTTTTTAATGTAAAGTTTAACAGGGTAAAATAAGTGCAGCAATTTGTAAGAGACATCTCTTACTTTATTGGTTATTAAGTATTTGCATGATAATGTCCACACTTTTTTTCCATGGGATATTCTCATATAAGCCATTCCAGTGGTACACTATATATGGAAGAGAAGTAAGCTCTGCCTAAAACAACTGTCAAATTCTTTTGTTCCGACCAGAGGGAGAAGATATAAAACAAATTTTTCCAATCATTGTATCAAAAGGATGAACTATTGACAAAGAACTCTGGGATCTGGCAGAGTTCTTGAGAAGAGATATGGCTCCACGGGGAATAGCATCCATTATTATGGAAAACTCACGAGGAGTGACAGGGATATTGTATTTATTTAGAAATTCTGAATAAGAATACAAGTAACCATCAGAATTGCCCAGTTCACATATAATCTATCAAATGTAGCTAATCTTTACTAGAAGCCTACTCTAATAAATAAGGACTAGTACGCAATGAAATACTAGTAACGTGTAATAACTAAACAGATGGTACGAGTATTAAAAAAAATCATGTCCTTAATACCTATAATGACATACTATAAGTAGAAAATGATTTCCCAGAGATGGCTTGCGGCTGGAAGGGCATCCGCTGCGTAAAAACGTGCTGGATAAGTTGGCGGTTCATTCCGCTGTGGCGACCCCGGATTAATAAAGGGACTAAGCTGACAAAAAATGAAATGAAATGAATGAAGTAGAAAATGAGTAGTTGAAATCTTAACAGATCCTTGTAGAAGTCAGTAACAAATATTTAAGAATATCTTAAATAGATATCTATCTTCCTTTTTAAGATTAATAGGAGTATCTGCCAGATAAAGTACTTCAAATGAACTAGGAATATGAAGATCTAGAAAAATATCATTGATGGCGGAGTGCACCATTTCCTAAAAACTATCAATTCTTGAGCACTGCCAGAATATATCCAACAAGGATGAGTAGTCCCCGATTGTAATGATGTAATTTTTGGTGTAATACAATTTTTTTTTGCCTTTTCTTATTGTCTCATCACTCGTATATTTGAATTGCTGTCCTCTCGCATTCCTCAGGTACATCTCATTATGGAGGCTACAGTCATGAAGCAGTGCTTTATGCTCTACAGGAGTGTGGCATAAGGCACATCGACACAGCTAAGCGCTATGGTTGTGAGGAGGCTCTGGGAAAAGCAGTGACTGAGAGTGGAGTACAGCGGGAGGAACTCTGGATCACCACCAAACTATGGCCTGGAGATTACGGCTATCAGAGCACCAAACAAGCCTGTCGGGATTCATGTGCCAGGCTGGGGGTAGATTATTTAGGTAAAAAATGTCACAATCTTAAGCATTAGTAAAAAGAAAAATGTCTTATTTGTTTTATTTTGGTTAGAATAAAAGCAGTTTAAAATTTTTTTTAAACCATTTTAAGGTCAATTTTATTATATATTTTTAATTGTCTCCAGAATAAACCATAGTTTTTTTTTTTTAAGATTTATTTTTGGCCTTTTTGCCTTTATTAGACAGGACAGTAATTAGACAGGAAGTGAAGTGGGAGAGAGAGAGGGGGTTAGGGTTGGGAAATGTCCTTGAGCCGGGATTTGAACTCGGGGCGCCCCCATGACCAAGTTCAAGTTCCAAGTTCAGACTTGGAAGAACGAACTCATAAGGATGCGAGGACACAAGTCGGGTACTTGTACTTTGTAACGTCACTTACCTCACCATGGATTCATCGGTATCACTGTACATTAACAATAAAATTATTTAATTATATACAGCAAGGCCTTATAATTATTATTATATTGATATTATAAATCTACATTTTTGATTTAAGACAATGTAAACAAGGCGAGGCAGTGGTGCAGTAGGTAGTGCTGTCGCCTCACAGCAAGAAGGTCGCTGGGTCGTTGGTTTGAACCTCGGCTCAGTTGGCGTTATTGTGTGGAGTTTGCATGTTCTCCCTGCCTTTGCGTGGGTTTCCTCCGGGTGCTCCGGTTTCCCCCACAGTCCAAAGACATGTGGTACAGGTGAATTGGGTAGGCTAAATTGTTCATAGTGAATGTGTGTGTGGATGTTTCCCGGGTTGCGGCTGGAAGGGCATTTGCTGCGTAAAAACCTGCTGGATAAGTTGGCGGTTCATTCCGCTGTGGCGACCCCGGATTAATAAAGTGACTAAGCCGACAAGAAAATGAATGAATGAATGAAAAAGTAAACAAATCACTATAAATGAAGTGAAATAAATTATTAAACGCAGACTTCCAGTCTTTGAATATTAGATTTAATAAACTACAATGAACATTATACAAGTATAAAGTACAAGACGTACACAATAAGAAATCAAGATAACGTTAAGCAATTTGGTAAACAAAGACAAACCTCGTACAACATGGTAACTTAATTAAAGACAATTATAAAGGTAACAAAATAACACACCTGATAACATAAAAATTGATTTATAAGACCAAAAACTGTTGATTAGATATGCACAAAATGTATTAAATATCAATAAATATCATGTATTAGCCATAATGGACAGATGCAATCCAGCGGCACATTCGTGATGGATTGGCTGATGTAAAGCTGCTCTCACCTGGGGAGGTGATGAGGAAGCTCCCGCTAACAGGCTTGGGGGCAGAGTCTGCATAAGCTGAGGCACATCGCCAAAGACGTGCTGTCTTTATAAATAAACTGCAGATTCGAGTTTAAAACAACTACATTCTCACTTGAAAAACTCTTAAAACTTTCATTTGTAACACAACAGGGGAGTATTTTTAAAACCGTGCAGGTTTTCTCCTCCGCCATTAGCTTTCGCAGGGTACGCTGCAATGCATTCTAGGATACTTGTGCTTTGGAAGTTCGCACAAGTCACCTCTCGAAGCATCCTTGGCAAAAAGGGCGGAGCAAATACACATCTGGGAATTTCATCTGTACATGGCAAGATGTGAACTTTAAATTGGAACAGGTCTTCGGCGACAGTTGATGACGTTTAACGAGGACACAAGTACAGACAATAACGCATATTGAAAAACCGCCATTGTTATGCACCAAGCTGCCTAATTACCCCAACTTGCCTAATTAACCTAGTTAGGCTCTTAAATGCCACTTAAAGCTAAAACTATTTGAAAAATATCTTGTAAAATATTATTCACTGTCATCATGGCAAAGATAAAAGAAATCAGTTATTAGAAATGAGTTATTAAAACTATTATGTGTAGAAATGTGTTGAAAATAATCTCTCCGTCAAACAGAAAAATGCGAAAAATATACAGACGGCTAAAAATACAGCGTTTTTTCAGCATTTCATTGTAATCATGTCTTTGTAATTGCTTCTGAATCATCTTCTTTTGCTAGACCTGTACCTGATGCACTGGCCGGACTCCATGGTTCCTGGTCGCTCCAGTCAAGAGGTTCGACTGGAGACTTGGAGAGCTCTGGAGGAGCTTTATGATGAAGGTTCTGCTCTTTTACGCTCAATTTTCTGTTTTGAAATGATCGCAGGTAAAGTTTGTATATAAAGTCCCTTCACGTTGTGCAGGTTTGTGTCGTGCCATCGGAGTGAGTAACTTTCTGATCCCTCACCTGAACGAGTTAAAGGATTGCGGTGGAATCGTGCCTCATGTTAACCAGGTGTGATTGAATTCTTTTGTCATTTAACATTAAACAAATACAATAAGTCAGTGTGTTCTCCCCGTGTTGGCGTGTGTTTCCTCCCAGTGCTCCGATTTCCCCCACAGTACAAAGATATGCGCTATAGGCGAGTGGTGTGAGCTAAATTGTTTGTAGTGTATGTGAGTGAATGAGAGTGTAGGGGTGTTTCCCACTGATGGGTTGCAGCTGGAAGGGCATCTGCGGTGTAAAACATATGCTGGATTAGTTGGCGGTTCATGCCGCTGTGGCAACCTTTGATTAATAAAAGGTTGAAAATAAAATAAATGAATAAGTCATTCATTCATTCGTTTACTTGTCGGCTTAGTCCCTTTATTAATCCGGGGTCGCCACAGCGGAATGAACCGCCAACTTATCCAGCACATTTTTACGCAGCGAATGCCCTTCCAGCCGCAACCCATGTCTGGAAAACATTCACACATACACACACTCATACACTACGGACAATTTAGCCTACCCAATTCACCTGTACCGCATGTCTTTGGACTGTGGGGGAAACCGGAGCACCCGAAGGAAACCCACGCAAACGCAGTGAGAACATGCAAACTCCACACATAAATGCCAACTGACCCAGCCGTTGCTCGAACCAGCAACCTTCTTGCTGTGAGACAACATCACTACCTACTGCGCCACTGCGTCGCCATGAATAAGTCAGTGTTTCCCAACCCTGTTCCTAAAGGCACACCAACAGTCCACATTTTCAACCTCTCCCCAATCAAACACACCTGAATCAACTCAGAAAGAGAGAAGAGACTCCAAAACCTGAAGTGAATGAATCATATAAGGGAGACATCCAAACTGTTGGTGTGCCTCAAGGAACAGGGTATGGAAAACACTGCAATAAGTCATGCATAAACCACATCTTGTATCAAATATATCCAAAACAACTTTATTTCATTAATACACACACACACACATGGAGATGGACTGCTGTAATGTTTGCTGTAATTGACGCTGTTTTTATTTCAGTTTGGTTGTGTTTCACTGTGTTGGCTGCACTTGCAGGTGGAGTTTCATCCTTTCCAGCAGCCAATGAAGCTGGTTGAACATTGCCGGAAGGAGAACATTGTTTTCGAAGGCTACTGTCCTCTGGCCAAAGGTCAAGCTCTCACTCACCCACACATCCTGGAGCTCGCCAAGAAATACGGCCGCAGCGCTTCACAAATCTGCATCCGCTGGAGTATTCAGGTGCCGGTTCCGCTTACATTACATGCTTTCCAGCTCTTTAAAGAGATTGTTTAGCCATTGATATCATTTCAAACTTGAATAAATTACTATACATCATCTGCACCCACTGGAAAGAAATTAAATATTGTGTGGTGATGGAAATGACAGTGGTGGACAATTTCAACAGTTTATTGTGAAAAAAATGACCAATTGTTTCAGCGTTTAGCTTTGAATTAATACCAGCCTTTCACGTATACAAAACACTCTTATTCACCTTCATTTTGTTTGGTTTTTAAAAACATCTTTGAAGGTACAGCATGTTTGGAAATGACGTAGAATAAATGTATTTCCTTATCAAGCAATATTTACCTTAATTTCTCTTCTAGTGTTGTTGATAAAAATGTAAATTCCCTCCATCATGAACACGTTCTCAGATGGCACTTTTTTTTTGTACAATATATTTATTACTTTTTTCAATTTGCATATCACAACAGATGACACAATTACAGAACAATAATCATGAAGGCACAGCAAACTTTTTACCCCCCATTCTTCCTCCCAACAACCCATTCCCTTAAAAATAAATAAATAAAATAATAATAAATAAGTAAATAAATAAAATAAAAATAAATAAACAAATAAATATAATAAAAAAGGGAAAGAGAAAAAAAAAGGGGGGGGGGGGTGTATGTTTAAAGCAGGTAGTCTGTTTAGACCATGATACTTCCCATATTCCTAAGCTTGTTCTAGTTGTAGTAGACTGTCAACATTTACATTGTACTTTAGAAAGTTATTAAAAGGTCTCCAGATATCTTCAAACACATTTTATTTCTTTTTGACAATGTACGTGATCTTTTCCATTGACATATGCAATGCCATTTCTTTAATCCACTTTCCTATTCTAGATTCATTTATATTTTTCCAATTAAGAGCAATAATACGTTTAGCTTGTAAAATGCACGTTTATGAATCTGACCTCTTTGCTTTGTAGGAGAGGGCTGACAGGAAATATACCCATGATAAAAATCTTAGGATCTAATGGTAATTTATTTAATAAAATTTGGTCAATTATTTCAATAACATCTTGCCAAAAGGGTTTCACTTTCACACATTCCCAAATACAGTGATAAGGTGTTCCTCTCACCTCATTGCACTTTATACAGGTATCTAGAATATTATCATTAAACTTGTGCAATATAGCAGGAGTTATGGATGTTCGCATCAGATGGCACTTTTAATTTTCCTAGAAACCACCTAAATAATCTTTCACACAAACTTTTTAAAGCGACATTACAGCGTTGTGATGGAAATGACACTGATACTGTGCGACATTTTGTATAAAAAAATATTGATAATAGCCTCACATTAATAACTATAAAATATTTAAATTATTTCACTTGTGCGTAATTAAGATACATGAATAGATACCAGATAAATATTTTAAAATGTTATTTTCAATGAAGTTTAAAACTCTGGGTGTGCGACAAAGTGAAAACATTGATTTTGACACCTAAAAGGAGGTTTAATAATATGAAATAAATATTATAGAAAGCTAGTATTTTTTTTAAAGTAGGTTTTATTATTAGTTTGACAAAGAAAGAGAAATTTGAACAAAATTATATAGATTTTTGGATATATGATCCAAAGTAGTTGAAGAATGACCCATATATGTATACAAGGCAGGCACATGCACATGTTCTTATTACCTGTTTACCAAGATAGCTTATTACAAATGCAAAACTATTACATTTTCAAGCAGTTTCAAGCTCTTTAACCTGAAATCTAAGCAGTTTTAGTTTTTACATTTACAGTAGATTCAAATTTAGGCACTTTTAAGCATTTCCAGCACCCGTAAGAGCCCACATTCATGGATTAAAAACTAGTTTCAACAGCATGTTCTGCAAAAAGTAGAGAAACACTGAACAATTAGACATGAGCATTCAAAAGTCATACATTACCTGACAAAGGTCTTGTCGCCTTATCCATGTTTTAGGTAGAACAAATAATAACTTGATTTTCAGTTGATCATTTGTTATCAGAAGTGGCTTATATGAAAGGCAAAGGCCTCTAGCTTACACTTATTTTACCAAAATACATTTAAACAGAAAGAAATAATAAATAAGAAATAATGTACAGTATAGAATATAAAGTCATGCTGCAGTGGAAAATAAAATAATATTGTGCATGACTCCCATGAGCTTGGAGGACTGCATCCATACATCTCTGCAATGACCAAATCAATTATTAATAAAGTCATCTGGAATGGCAAAAAAGCGTTCTTGCAGGACTCCCAGAGTTCATCAAGCTTCTTTAGATTCATTTTTAGTGCCTCCTCCCTTATCTTACCCAGACATGCTCAATAATGTTCGTCTCTGGTGACTGGGCTGGCCAATCCTGGAGCACCTTGAACTTTGCTTTCAGGAACTTTGACGTGAAGGCTGAAGTATGAGAAGGAGCGCTGAAGAATTTGACCTCTCCTGTGGTTTGTAATGTAACGGGCAGCACAAATGTCTTGATCCCTCACACACCCCCATACTGAATGTAACCCCAAACCATGATTATTCCTTCTCCAAACTTTTGTCAGGTAGTCTAGAGAAGGTCAAATGAAGTTAATCTGTGAAGGTTGTTGTGCATTTTGGGGGATGCTGAAATTTCACCTTAAAGCTGAATATTCATAACGTTTTGTGAGTATTGAATATTGAAAAATGGAAACTAACATTTTAAGCAATAAACAAGCTAATTATTGTCCAAGGCACTCAAAAAGTAAGTGAAATTAACATGGCTATTATTATAAAAATAGCACTATTGTGATATTCCATCACTTGGACTTAAAATATGTCATTAAATCTCAACATTTTAAAATGACAAGACTTATCAGAACTTTTATGACCTGTTGGAACCCTTTCATGTCCATAAATGTATAGTTAAAAATAGTTTCATAATATTAGGAAAAATTTTATATTAATGTATGCAATATATGATAGTCTTATCTCCCATTTTGATTAGTTGTTCTTTCTTTTCCAGTGTGTCATGTGTCGGATATAATTCAGAAGCAGCGGTTAGAACGGTTTTCATTAATCTGCTTCTACATTTAATTTCAGAATGGAGTTGTCACAATCCCAAAGTCCACCAAACCAGACAGGATCTATGAAAACTGCCAAGTAAGTTCTAAGTTGTGTCATCTTAAAGCTGTGGTTTTTCAGCAAAAGCAAAGTGCACAAGATTATGTTATGCTACAATAGTGTGTCGTCAAACTTAGCATAGTTCATCCAAAAATTACAAATTTCTCATCATAACTCACTCAAGTGGTTCTAAACTTTTATGAATTTCTTTCTTCTCTTGAACACAAAACGAGATACTCCAAAGAATTGGAAAAAAACAGACACTAGCCCCTTTCACACATACAGACCTTTCCGGAGAATTATTTCTCTGGCGGAATCTGGGCGCTGCTGTTGCAATGGAATGTTCTTTTGAGTGTCGCCTCTTGGTGATTCTAAGCTCTTTGGTCCCATTTATGAATTCTCTCACGGGGCATTATGGGATAAGGCAGTGTGCATGGAATGCGCACTTCAGAAACTTGCCGGATGTAGTAAGTCATCCGGGTACTTCTCGCATACTGATTTTCGAATTCGGTGAATTCAAACATACTGCTCGGCTCGCGTAGTGTATAGTTTGGAAGTATGCTGTTTCGGACGCAGCCATATTATGTACATCTCGACAGGCAAAAGTGTTTCTGTTTATGTTTTCATCCAAGTTGTTCACAATACTTGTCCATCCACAGAGTTTGTAATGGAGTCAAATGTTTACAAATACAAGCGCAGCCGTTTAGAGCTCATTTCTACAAATACAAGCGCAGCCGTTTAGAGCTCATTTCTACAAATACAAGCGCAGCCGTTTAGAGCTCATTTCTGGTTGATGATGTCAGAATTTACCGGTATTTTGGAATGGATGTGTGAATTTTCCGGAAAAATTCCGTAACGTCCTCGCCTGTGTGAATAGAGCTTTTTTAAATGTACTGGTAAAGTCGTTTCGCACATTTTCCGGATATTTACCGGTATCACTGTGTTAAAAGGGGCTATTGGCTGTTTTCCAACATTGTTATATTTTCCTTTGTGTTCATTAGAAGAAAGAAACTCAATCAGGTTTGAAGCAAGTTGAGGGAAAGTAAACAATGATAGAATTTCCATTTTTGGGTAAAGCATCCTGAAATAAACTACATAATATTAGCTGAAATAAGAGGTTTTTAGTAGTTTTTTTCCCTACAATCCAACCAAGCAGGCACAAGACATCAACATGACATCAGATTGATGTTGTAGCCCAATGTCGGGGGACGTTGCATTTTGTTTGGAAATGAAAATCGGGTTAATGTCAGAACCCACGTCAATGTCCAACCTAAAATCAACCAAATATCAACTAATGATGTTACAGCTTGACGTTGTGTGGACGTTACCACCATGGTGTATATCAGATGTTGGATTTTGGTTGCCATACCTGATGAATAAATGTCAGTATTTGACGTCAATTCGACGTTGGTTTAAGATGTTGGGTCGATGTTGTATTTTGGTCACTTTCTAACACAACCTAAAATCAACCAAATATCAACGTCATTTGACATCATTATTGGATGTCCTTAGACGCTTGCTAGACGTTGAATTGTGGTTACCTGAACTAAATTTAACCTTATATTGATGTGTTACGGCATTGTGTGCCTACAATTAGCAGAGACGGCTACAGTCCACTAAACTGAGAATATATTGACTATTTATTCTTAGCTGATTTCGACTCACCTATTTCTAGTTTGTACTTGATCATAGTTGCATCATCCTTTTGAAATCAAACTCATAATGCTGTGCCGCTCAGGTGTTTGGGTTCAGGTTGGAGGATTCAGAAATGGCTGCCCTGAGTACGTTGCATGATGGGAGACATGTAAGCTGGGACCCAACTCATGTGGAATGACCAAGTCTCCTTGAAAAGCAGCTCTTCAGGTGAGCTTGGAAAACAATACAGCCTTTTTGTGCTGGAGGAATGTTTTCGCAGTTCCTAGAATTATTAGAGGATCTACCCATGCTGGATTTAGTTCTCATCTGAGAAATTCACCCAAAAATGTAAATTCTATTATTAATTACCCTCAAGTCATTTTAAACTGAGACCTTCGTTCATCTTTGGAACACAAATCAAGTTATGTTAGATCAAATCCGAGAGCTTCCTCATCCTCCTTAGACAGAAAAGATCCTGACTCATTCAATGTTCAGAAAAATGCCTCCCCAAAAATCCTCAAAACAGACTACATGGTTCAATCAGAAAACTATCAAGCTACGAGAATACTTTTGTGCTCACATAACAAACTTTATTGAACATTTTCTTCTCCTCAGTGTCAGTATAGGGTGCACGTTTACCAGAGCAGTGTGCTCTTTAAAGGTCCAGTGAAGTGCTTTGAAATGAGCATTATTTTATTCGATGTTTGATGTAATCTCAACTGAAAAATAAAGAAAGGGCGGGACATAATGTAGCCCCACCCCTTTAAAAAACAACCAATAGCGTGTTTTTAACGTTTTCACAGCTTTGCCAGTCAAGCCTGGTTTATACTTCTGCGTCAAGTGACCGGCGTAACCCACGGCGCATGCAATGCGAGTAGCTGTGCATTTATACTTCTGCGCGCTGTCCAAGTGTGCCGCAAGCCTGCGTTTGAGTGAAGGTTTCGGCCGTTAGATCGCCCCCTGGGGGCTGGCTGCAGTACAAGTCATAAAGCCCGCCTCCTCTGTGTTAATGAAGGAGACTTGAGCCCAAATAAAAAAAATTATTACACTTGCAATAAACTGTCCCGAAAGATGGTTCTGGTCGATTAAGGCACTGGTTATTGTGCTGAAATAGGTGCAGATCCTCATTTTTTTAAACAGTTTGTTTTTAGCAGTAATTTAATGCTGGGCGTGTCATCGTGATTGACAGCTGTGATTGACAGTTTCTCAAAGCAGCGCGTCTGAGCTTCGGCAGGAGACTGAAGTGTTATTATTCGATTTCTGTGTTATTTTACCATGACAAAATGAGTTCAGCAGTAAACTATAGTTTCTGACATACATGATCCTGGTGGAACACTGTTTATTCGCTAAGTTCAGGGCTTTTTTCGGGCTTTATTAGTTTGCTGATACACGCCTAGCCACCCAGATAGCAAAATACACTAGGGCCAGTTCCAGCTAGATTTCAGCCGAAGACTTACCCCTCAGAGCTCAGACTGACTACCTCTGCTGGACGTACTCCGGATGCCTGGACTCACTGCCCGAATCCAGCCCGAGTCAATCGAGCCAGATGCGGCGGCCGAGCGAGCCGGCGCTGCCGCATGCGAGCCGTAATCAGCCCGCGACGCCGCGAGTAGGTTATGCGCTGCGGCCTGGAGCTGGCACGATTAAATATATAAAACCCTCATATTTGTTAACGTTATTACATGCATTTGTGTTGATAAGACAGCAAACGCATGCTGATAAGTTCAGGGGGCGTGGTTAATTTTACATAAAGCGTTTGGTTGGAAGCTCGACTCGGCTCATTTTCGCGGCTCCTCCTCTGGCTCCATCAGACAGTCCTTCTGCGCATGTCAAGGCTCCAATTTCAGCAGTCTTTTGCGACAGTTTGTGCCCGTCAAGCAGGCGTTTTGCCCTCAAAGCGTTCAATGGGAAAAGGGGCTGTCGCGTCGTCCATATTTTTTACAGTCATTGGCGCTGTCTCTGTTGGACTGCATTAACACTTCCGAAACGCTAGTTGGCAGTGAGGAGTAAATGTTCCTCTCTGTCGAGTTTCTTCGCTGGTATTTTGCTTTTCCTGAACACTTCCTAAATGTTCAAGTGGCTCAAACTCGCTCATTTTGAGGCAGAAACCGGTGGACGTGCAACAACTTTAACTATGAGGTAAACACAAATCAAAACTTTCCATCCGGAGCTCCTTCACGGGACTCCACACTTGTAAACAACTGCTCCAATTGGTCCCGCCCAGACTCGTCATCGCTACCAAGCCGACCAATCACAGAGCTTGCGCTACACGTCATTGCGACGTGTAGTTATATTTTTTGAGAGGTGCACGTCAGCGAAGCCGACGGCCACGGCGTAGGGCTATGCATCAACGCCATAGCATAAGCGTGCGTTTGACGCAGAAGTATAAATCAGCCTTAAGAGTGGTTTAGCTCAAGCGCATCCAATGAAAAGAAAATGAGAAGCGTCTTGAAAGGGACGGGGCATGTCAGATACTAGACAGCATTTGATTGGTCAAGATTTGATGAGAAACTAAAGTAAGAATCGTTGATCCATTTAGGCGGAATTGAAAACTGCCACTTTGGGTGTTTTTATCAGTTTTATATTTTCTAAACGTGAATTTTGTTACTGTTTTGGAGCACACTAGCTAATAGATATCCTTAAAACTAACATCTACTGTACATTTTAATTTTAATTTCACGAGACATTTAAGTGTGTTGCTTTTGGTCGTGCTGCTGACGTACACCCCCTGTACTCTTGTGCTTTAGTCTCAAATAGAGGAAGTTGCACGCAGGTGTCCTGGGTACACATCAGCGCACGGTGGTCATGAACGCAGACTATAATACAAATCTTAATTTGTGTTCTGAAGATGAATGAAGGTCTTTAACAGGTTTGTAACAACATGATGGTTAGTAATTGTTGACAATTGAAACTTTCGGGTGAACTATCTCCACTTCTGTGTTTTAGTGACAGTAGCAGATGCCAAATATAAGCTAAAAATCTCTTAATTCACAAAAAAGATTTTAGGCTCACTTCAAGTGAATGTGGACTTTGTGAGAACAAGGCTCAGTGTCAATAATTTGTACGCCCACACGGATTCTGTGTATACATATTCAAGAGTTCACACTTATCTGATGATTGTTAATTAAGCTTGCTTGGCGTGCTGTCCCGGGAAAGAGCCCTGAGCTTATAAGATCCTCGAGCTCTGGGCTCCCTCCCGTTGCAGGGCAAGAGGGGAGTTTGAGCTCAGGTAGATCTCGATTACTCCCCCACCCCCCGCTTATTGTAGCTAAGTGTCAGATATGGATGCTGAGAAGGTGTACTCAGCTTGGCTAAAATATTTTGGATTAATTGTTTAGGGTGGGAGGAAACCGGAGGACCCAGGGAAAACCCATGCGAGCACGGGGAGAACGAGCAAAACTCTGCACAGAAATGTCGCCTGGTTTGAAAAGGAGTTAAACCTGGGGCATTCTTGCTGTGAGGCAACAGCGCTAATCACTGGCCACCATGACGCCCGTTTGAAAGGAGGGAAAGTAGGGTTGGGTGTGGGGGGTGTGGGGGGGGTTTCTTCGAGACGAAGATATTGAGATGAGAAAGGTCGGGTTATTTATAGTGAGTTAAGGATCGTCTGATAGGATAATTAGTCATGAGCTTAAGTTGGAACAGCTGTAAATAATCATAAGCACGTGATCCTCTCGAAATTTGTTTATAAATAAACTTCACATAGTGGTGGGCCGTTATCGGCATTAACATGCTTTGTTGACACGTTCTTATCGGGCGATTTTTAAAAAATATCGCCGTTAACCTATTCTTAAAGTTGGGTTGGGAGCTGGGACTATTCTACGCAAGCTATGATGACTTTCACCTTGAAATTTTAGCGCAGTTGTATACCTGGCCGAATTGCACTGTAGAGGTCGAGAACGAGCCTTCAAACCTGTTTGTATTCCTACTGTGAAATTACCACATCAAGCTAACACGGATGCAGTTCACTAGAGTGAATCTGATTAATGTTAGCTCCACATCTAACTATCAGGCACCCGTCGAGTTTATGCGTTCGAGTAAAACATATTCAGATAAAATGGAGCGGGTGCTTTTTAAAGTGAATGACGGTGAATGAAAGTCAAACCAGTGAGCCGTCTGACAAAAAAAAAGTGCCCTTCTGAATCAAATCAGCAGGATGCTCTTCTGGATCTTTCATTAACTTCGAAGTCACTACTGACTACGCTTACATGGACATCAGTAATCTTGTTATTTGCCTTAATAGACAATAATATAATTAAGGTGTTTACGTGAAGTGCTTTCATGCAAGTTTCCTGTAGTTTCACTTTAACTCATGAACATTTCGTTCATGCCCCCGTGACAAACTGGGGTATTAGATGCAAATAAGGAGTAAGGAAGGACTGGTGAGAGTGTTTTGGAATTTAATAACGCACGCCAAATGAAAGAAAAAACTTCAGCATTTCGTGATGTGTGTGTGTGTGGTCCTTTACTGACAGCCTCGTGTGTGGATCTTGTTGGAAAATATGGCGAAAAGTCCTCCATGACGGTAATAGTTTGATCACGGTGTTTACTTCAATAATGCCACTAATATAAGCATACTCCACGTCTTAATTCCATTTCTGTTTAGTTCAGTTTTGACTTTAGTCGGATTACGGTAATCAAAAAAATCGCTGTTTGTTAGCAAACACAAGTACATCTTATTGAACATCACTTATTTTCATCACCAATTATCATAGTAGAACAGTTTCTCAAGCAGTTTGTGATGCATTTTGGAAACAGGAGATGAGCCCCTGTTCTAATGCGCCACCTGGCTTAAGACACCCATTCTCAAAGACTTACTTTTAGTCATTATTTGGGTTG